TTAAGGTCTGTGAAGGGGTGTTGAAGGGTTTACTGTTTAGTCACGAACATGCCCTCAAGGCTCCGACGATGCAAGCAAGTCAGCCTTAAGACGAAGAAGAAGATTGGCATCCGAGATCTGTCAATAAAGACTTGCTTACACTGCTCAGACTGTCAGGAAGAGGCTGCGAAGTTCCAGACGGAATCTTGTCAGCTTAGGGTCCACGGCATCCGATATCTTCCAGCTTCGTGCGGGTAAATGCGCTCTTCGGGTATGCCATGCTCCTCAAGATCACTCAGGACAATAATTCCTGAGATTAAGGGTGCATTTTTCCAGTTCAGAAACTCGATGGTGCTCCAGGCGTCGAAACCCTTGATAAGAAATTGCAAGTAAGGTTTCCAACGACAAAGAACTGTACATCGGCGGGCATTGGCAATGGACTGGCTTGGGGGGTGGGGGCTTTGTGTTGCAATCCCAACATATGCATGCAACTTGGGACAAATGAACCAAGAAATCAACAAATAGTGTGTATGTATAAACAAATACAAACAAACAAATTATGCAAACAAACATACATACATACATATACACGAACCTACTTGCCTAATTACAGTATATACAAACACACCATGCACCCCTGCACTCTGCCCACTGTGCCTCTCATGTCAGAGGTGCGCCACCATTCGTCGCAGCGCTGTCACCGGCTCGGAGAGCTTCCCCGGAGAGTGCGTGAACCGGCTGAGGGTTTTTGGGGCTTAGGGTTTAGGGGGTTTAGGGTTTAGGGCTTAGGGTTTAGGGGGTTTAGGGTTTAGGGCTTAGGGTTTAGGGGGTTTAGGGTTTAGGGCTTGAGGTTCAGGGGGTTTAGGGCTTAGGGGGTTTAGGGTTTAGGGCTTGAGGTTCAGGGGGTTTAGGGTTTAGGGCTTAGGGTTTAGGGGGTTTAGGGCTTAGGGTGCTCCGACAAGTTGCTCCCCGCAATGCTTTTTGATTTTTGGGCCAAGTAGCTGTCGTGCATTGCTGGGGCCAGCTACTGTACATAGTTCATATTTGTCCCTTGCTCTTCACATTTTTCTTGTTACACATGAAATTATGAAGCATCCACCCGCATCCCTTAAGCCTAAACACACCCTAAAACATACAAATTCAAGGTAACAACACCAAACCCAAGGACATGTGATTCGGCTTTAAAGCTAGCAGTGCCTGGAACAGTGCCTTGCCTGACTGCTGCGGAGTTTCAGGTTTAGGCGGCGATTCTCTTGCGTCAGGTTAAACAAGGTTCGGATTGTGGCTCTCGGGTTAGAGGTTATTTGAGGTTTGGGTTTAGGGTTTAGGGGTTTAGGGGTTTAGGGTTTAGGGTGTGTAGGCACCAATGCCCTCACAGTACCACAAATCCAACACTCTGAATCCTAAGCAAAAAGAATTACCCATAGGCTCCATGGTAGTTCGTTTTGGGGATTACCTTATAGCGTCCGGAATATGAGCCACAAAACGGAACCACAATGGAGGCTAAAGGTAAGCTGTGCTCATTACACTAAAAGCCAGAAATTTGGAACATCATTATCCTCATGCCCTTAAGATAAATTATGAAAGATACTAGCACTAATCGTCCTAAATCCATGTTCCAACTTTTTGGCTTCTACTATAAACCTACCTTGACCCTGAATAACCTACCTTTTTGGGGTTCCTTAATATGATTTATGTCTTTTGGCCACAGAGGTCCCTGGCTCCCCGCTGGATGGAAGGGCTCAGAACGCAAGACCGGAGAAGGCAGGTCACGTGGCAGCACAAGGGATCCTCCATTCCCTACTAACCAAAGGTAAGATACCCTTATAGATCCCTTATACTAGCCCTTATAGACCCCTTTAAGGATCCCTTTAAAGGCCTCCATTCCCTACTAACCAAAGGTAAGTTTCTGCATCTCAGAATCCTTATCGGGAGCTTTGGTTGCAGTGCATGTCTTGCGAAGGAGGGGTGACTCCTGAACCCTGAACGCTAAACCGGCTAAACCCTCCTAAACCCTAAGCCCTAAACTCACTCAACCCTAAGCCCTAAACCCTAAACCCTGCCTAGACTTCCTAAACTCACTAAACCCTGAATCCTAAACTTCCTAAACGCGAAGCCCTTTCCGGGAAGCTTCCCTGGAAACCTGTAGGGTGCGGAGTGATGCCGATGGCCAGGCGACCCCCAATGCGGTGAAAGCTCTAACGCCTAGCCTAAAGCCGAAACCCTATAAAGTCTTAGGCCATAAACTCAGAACCATAAGATCCTAGCCTGAACCCCAAAAGCCCTGCAGAACAAGTGCACTCTGAGCGCTTACTTGACTTCATAAACTTCGCTCTGAAACGGGGCGGACTCTGGCATTTACGGCTTTAGATGGTGTTGGAGTTCTGTGGTTTTAGGTTCTATGAACTTTTCCCGCCCAGGTAGACAGAATGTTGAGGAGTTTTCAACATGGGTGGCTGTCAGCAAGAGGGCCCTGTGCGGGTTTAGGCATAAGTGCACAAGACAGTGTACATAGCACTTGTAGAAACCGTGTTCTGCAGAATCCCAATAACGTTTTGACTCTTGTAGAAGTAAACCCTGATGCTGACGACCACCCATATTACTGGAAAGGCGCCACAAATGCGGAGGTCAATTGGGATCATAGTGACTACTCTAGTCCGCACCAAACCACGACCATTCCGAGCTCGTTTTACATGTAGGGTCTCTTGTAGGCTGCCATATCCATTTATAATAATAATAAATTCATATGTGTATTTGTGTGTATGTGTATACAGGGATATAGGTATATAGGCACATATCTGTATAAATGTAGATATAAGTATGTATATATATATATATGTACATATGTATATATATGCATATATGTTTATACGTGCAAATGTATATATGAATGTGTATATATATATATATATATGTATATCCATATATATTGTAGTTATTTATAATTATGGATATAGAGCCTACGGATGCTCTCTCTCTCTCTCTCTCTCTCTGTATATATGAATATGCACATATCATATATACATATTTACGTGTATGTTTATCTATTTACGGTCTGCCAGGATTGCAACCTGCATGCTGTTTTGGACTTGGGGTGACGCTGCCCGTGAGGCCCATTGTGCCAGTGCGTTTCAGTTGTATCGGGGTTGTTGCCGATTTTGGCTGCTCCACCTGAATCGAAGCCAAATCCCGAAACCCTAAACTCCCAGGACCCCAACCCTGCCCCATCTATCTGTATGAGTGCATGTATGTCCAACCAAAATCTCTACAGCAAGGGTCTTGCAAGAACCTTTCTTGGGTAAGCGGCGCCAACATCCCTAAACCCTAATGAAGAATTTTCTTAGCTGATGGGCAAAACCCTGCACCACTAAACATCGCGCCTGTGGAAGTTATGGCGCACGTCGTGTTATGGCTACTACAGGAGTATTTATTGGGTACGGCCCCCATACAGTTATATCTCTATATTATGAATATTATCCAACTGTTACTGAGTGGGGGCAGTACCGAAAGTATGTATGCAGAAGACTGAAAGTTTCAGGCTAAAGCTGCACCTAAAACCAACCGAACCTACTCCAGGTGTCGATATGCCTAGTAGTACAGTAGTTCACCTTTAACCTGATTTGGGTAGTATAACCCCTATATAACCAAAAAGGTTAACCTTTAGTTCCCCATGATACCCGACAAGTAGGCACCAACAACCCCTATCATTACGCATAATTAGGGCTCGGTATTAAGCGATAAGGGAAATTCAAGAATATCCCAAATCGATGCCTAGTACTCCGTTGTAGGTTCTCATACTCTACGGACAATGTAGAAACGCCGATGGTGGAGTTGTTGAGGCTCTTACTGCAGGCTACGAGAGTTTCCCAATACCCCTTAATTAAGGAATATAGCTTAAATCAGAATATGAATCCCTACATACTTTAAGCCATATTCCAAAATTAATGGGTATTGCGCTCTCGGGGTTGATGTAAGGGACATGGCACTATCGACCTCCCGAGGCATCAAGGGTCCCAGAGAGCCCAATACCCCTTACTTAAGGATAATGGCTCCTTAAAGGGATCTATAGGGGTTCTATAAGGGTATGAAGGAATATGGCTTAAATTATAGGGCTTCATATTGTGATTTAAGCTACATACCGTAATTAAGGGGTATTGAGCTCTCTGGGTTCAACATGTTGAAGATTTTTCAGAGAATAGGGAGCAATGAATAGACTCGGGTAACTAGGGCGTGTGCGCAAATGGGCAAACGAAGGACACTACGGTTTCTGGGTGCTTTATATAATTAATGTGTGGTTATATATCGACTAGAGCGCGACGTGCATGAATACTTCGGGTTCAAGGGCAACTATTGCTGGCAATCTCCGCACTTGCAACTTCCACGACTCTTCTTGTTAAATCATCGAGACCCTGCACGAGACGCTTTGCCGGGGCCCTTACTGCTGTCATCAGTCAGGCCGCTGAGGTATCTAGAGAAGTTAAGTAATTCCCGAGACCGTAAAAGCCATACATCCAACCAACATCATAGTTAATTATTTGAACAAGTGGTCAAGTACTGGACCTGAGCCTTAAGACGCTGATCACGGTGGCCTTCATCCAAAAGACAACCTACCTTACCTAACCTTAAAATAGCTAAAGGCCGGCACTAGTAGGAGAATTCAACGAAGTATTGATAAGCCGGCAGCCCTCATGAGGAAATTTTCAATGCGAACGTAACTCCCGCATGCTAGTCTGTTCGTCCGGGACACCGGCCAAGCATGCGGCAGGGGATGTCTGTACAAGAGCTGTGCAGTGATCTATGGCCTTTGTAGCTTCAGCGGTCTTGTAGTTGGTCAGATGTGCCAACTCCCGAATGTTAGGGTCAATGACACTAGCATTTCAGTGCATGAACTATATACCTGTAGCCGAAAAGACCTACCTTTCTAAGGAACTATATATAGAATCCATAATGAGGAACCCTAAGAAGGCCCTTCCGGCTACAGGTATAGGGAAGTCACCCACGAGAAGCTCGGGAAAGCAACCTCATGGAGCCACAGTCGGCAGAGAAATCGTAGATCCCATGTGCACAGCGGGATCAAGGCGGATCGCGCACTTATTCCAGCAGCGCGAGTGCACCTGAATGGCGCAGGGACGGGTGCTTCGGGTGCTGGGCCTGAAAAATGGGGAGATGGTCCCTAATGATTGGTATTTAGTGCATAAACGGATCGTACAAAGTGCGGATGGACGGCGATGGTCGTGGTTGGTGGCAGGTGAAGCTGCAGGAAGAGAGAGAGAGAGAGAGAGAGAGAGAGAGAGACAGACAGGAATTATGGCTGTGGCCGCAGGATTGTTCTCTCCGGCGCGGCCTTCAAACCAGAAGGATCTGTAGACATGCAGGTAATGTAAGGCGTAAGGGCCTTGATATTTACCAATACTATTTTGGGGGTTCCTCATTACAGTTATAGTATGATGGGCCCCAGAAAAACCCTGTTCTAACTATCAAGACCTCTATATTAATCCAATAAGTTGATCAATCTCGCCCTAGACACTCCAAGTCCAAACGATTCCTAAACTTGCACCTCTGTGCGATGATTGCGGATCGAGCACGCACCAACAATGCTCTAAGCAACGCCTTCGGTTGCACATCCCAAAGGGCTGTATAGTTATACTTTAGGGTTCTAAGTACCTACTATAATTGTACTTGGACGCTTTGCATATCGCTTGTAGAGTAAGTTCAGACGTGGACTTAGGATTTAGGACTTACGTTTTAGTTGCTAGGAGCTCCTTATCGTAAAACTGCGACCCTAAACCTCAGCACCCAACCTTCTCGTTTAAGTTACTCAGTTGGACCTGGAAGGTTCGGCTTCCGGCTTAGCACAGGATACCTCGTCTTGGTAGCTCCACCGAACCAGGCGCCAGTTGCAAGTAGCAGCCATGTAGAACGATGCCTTGTATAACTTATAGTGCTATTGTAGTAGTCATATAGTCCCCGATTAGGGAACCCTTATAGTAGTCCTTATAGTCCCTTTTAAAGGAACCCTTATAGTAGTCCTTCTAGTCCCCTTTTAAAGGAACCCTTTATAGTAAACCAGTTCCGAGCATGGGTCTCCGGCTGGTGTAAAATGGGAGTTTCCGAAAGTAAGGGATAGCTTATATTTTGGGGTCCGTATAATAACAATCCTACTATCCCTTAAAGGATACCCCAAAAAACCCTATGTTTCCGAACATCAGAGGTACCTTATTTTGGGGGTCCGTATAATAACAATCCTACTATTTAGGGTACTATATTTCGGTCCCCTATTTTCGGAAACTCCCAAAATGGATTTCGGCTGGCAAGCTTGAGCTGCTGGATGCCGAAACCTGTCTCCATCACTCCAACTCTCCTACACCTGCAATGGCCCCGCAAGCCCAAAACTGTGATTTTTTCAGTATCCTATAATGGAGGGGCCTTAATGGTTAGAATAGTGAACAGGGTTTTGGGACCCACTATACTGGTAACCATAATAAAGAGCCCACAAAAGAGCATTGGTGATTATTCGGGCCCCTATTAAAAAAACAGCCCCCCTTTAAGAAACCTTCTGTCTCACCCATGCGACACATCCGAGGCCTGCGTCTTCCTCACTGCCGTCCAAAACTCAAGCAAAGCCAACCGAGACCTGGGAGGAAGAAGATTTTCTGAGTTCTTCTTGAAGGATTCAATTTAAGTTATGATAACTTCTTAACAAGAACCCAGTAACGGTGTCGATTTCAACAGTCCCCTAAGTATTTGTAAGTAGGGATTCACATTAATTAAACAACAAAGGAATTAAGCAAATTATCTATAATTAGGGGTTTGCCGACCTCCAACCAGGGCGGATCATTAGGGCTCGGCTCTACATTAAACAATAAGGGGAAGTAAGAGTTATACCAAGTCGATACCAAGTTTGGGGTCTAGGCTACACCCTGAGCCTCTCAAACCTGCAGAATGCACAGTGCAACATTGTCAGTCCCTGGTTTCGTTGGGTTTTCTGTTCCCCTAAACCCTATAGACCCCTCAACCATATGAAGGATCCCAGTGTCTTAAGGTATATTGCTTAGAAGTATAGTTAGCCGAAATCCTAAACCCCGATCCCCCTAACCTTAAACCACCAAACCGTCTTTCGGTCTATTTCTTCCTCTGAACCTTGAGCCCTCATGGGCTGAGCGACCGAAGCACAGCGCCCAATGGCTGCCGTACACGAAGCGGAGCCTGGCATTTGTGGGAATTTCCGCACTAGACCATACGTTTGGGGTTCAGGGCGAAGGGTAAGGGAGAAACAGACTCTACTTCCCTGCTCAGCACTAGACTCTAACTAGGCCCTTCATTTGGGGTTCAGGGTATGGGGAGAAATGGACCCTAATTACCTGCGAAGGCTACCAAAACTTTCTGAGATCTATGCAGCTAACACGGCAAAGAGGCTTCGGCTGCATGTTCTTACCTTTGGTTAGTAGGGAATGGAAGAATGGTAGTAACAGTAGCTTTAATTGTACCCCATTCCTCCATTCCCTACTACCCTAAACCCTAAACCCCACTACCCTAAACCCTAAACCCCATTCCTCCATTCCCTACTAACCAAAGGTAAGTATTGCGGCTCGGGTTTCTGCCAGGCTTTCGGCTGGGTATGCTCTTGTGATCTAAAGCCATGAGCTGCTGGATGTACAACATATGGGCGTTTGTCAAAATTAGGGTCCCTTTTTGGGTCCTTATGACAGTACGGCACCTAATATCTAAGGTGCCCAACAGAGTCTGCAACAAAGGGGCCATAATTTTGACAACTGCCCATATGTACAACAGGCTCCAAAAGCCCTTAACTAAGGAATATTGACTGAAGTATACCAGGTTCCTTAAGGTGAGTCAAGGTATATCCGATCCCACGGTTACGGGGTATCGGAGTCTCTGGGCTTCTGAGATGGCGCTGGAATTCTGGCCTTGACTGGACCCTGGGGGCCCGGGTAGGGTAGTGTATGCCTCGGCCTTGAACTAAAGGGTTCTTGTATAGTTCAGAAGGGGCCCCAATCCTGTAATAGTGGTATAACAAGAATATAATAGGGGCCTAATATCATCCTTATAGTCACTATTACAGGGTGGGGGCAGCTTCTAATGTATACTTGTCTTTAGGGGCTGGGGGCTAGCTAGATGTCCCGGGGTCGTGGTTGTTGGAAGCCACAAAGCTTCTAGCTTAAGCCGTCCCAGACGGGAACAAACGGGGTTGTAATTGTAGAGCACACGGCTTCAGGGGTAAGCGTGTAGGGGGGGGGGGTAGATTTCAAGAGCTGGCAAACAACATTCACCCTAAACCCTAAACCCTAAACCCCTACTACCTTGAAGGAAATAGGCTATGGATCCTCGGGCCCTTGCAGCCATAGTTATGTGGCCCCAAGGGTCCAAGTACCCAATAGCCATATACTCTCCAAAAGCCTAACCTACATAACTACTATCCTAAAACCGAGTACCTAATCATTGTGGGTCCTTTGGACCCTTGGGGTGGGCTTTGTCTCATTACTTCTGTGTTCGCAGTTCGCCGAGGGGTGCCAGCAAATGGCTCTGCAGAGGTCGTTGAAAGGTTCGGCCTGATTTGATCGTCCCAGCATTACGTAAACCTTCAACCATAACCTTGAACCCTAAACCCTAAACCCTGAACCTTCAACCCTAAACCTTCAAAAACCCTGAACCTTCAACCCTAAACCTTTAAAAACCCTGAACCTTCAACCCTAAACCCTAAACCTTTGTAAACCCTAAACCTAAATAAAGCCTAAACCCTATAAACCCTATAAACCTTCAACCCTAAACCCTGTGATCCCCGTGTGGCGGGAGCGCGTGGCGGTGCCCAGGGGCGGCTTGATCCCGTAGAGACGATTGGTGGCCTTTTCTGGCTTTGGCTTTAAGCTTTTGTGGTTAAAGGGTTTAGGGCTTAGGGTTTAGGGTTTAGTGTTTAGCGTTCAGGGTTTAGGACTGAAGGTAACCATGGATTTAGAGTGGAGGCTTCATGCTGAACATTTCTGAGGCCGAAATCGCTGAGGGTTCAGGGTCTGGTGTCTAGCCTCCGGAATGCTTGCTGTGCCGATTTTGGGTGGGAGACCCAGTGACCCAGGGCAGGTTTCACAGCGGGAAAACCCCAAACTCCTCATCCCAGAAACCAGAACGACGTTCGTGTTGAAGCCGTAATTAACACAACCCTGCCTAGGGACTCTACAGAAACCTGTACATACTTCCTTTCCGAAAGAATGAATGCAGATTTTTCGGCCTCCGTCTTTTACAGCCCCAGCAAGCTGAAAGGCCAAGCAGAAAACCGCCAAAAGACGTGCAAGTCCAACCAAAAGCCACCCTACCATAGGGACCCTTACGGGGGGCAGGGGCCTTAATGCCCATACTAAGGACCTGATAAGGCCTATTCAAGGAAGTAAAGTCCCCCTTAGGGGGGGGTAGGGGCCTTAATGCCCATAATAAGCCCTACCCCCCTACCCCCCTAAGGGCCGAAATTGACCCTAGCCCTCCCAGCAATCAGAATAAAGCTAACATAGGGGCCTTAATAATTAGAATAGGGTTTAGAGATATGGGTGGTTGTCCATATTAGGGTCCCTTTACGGCACCTACTATTTAGGGTACCCAAAAAAAGACCACGATTTTTGACAACCACCCATATGATACTAAACGTAGTGTAAGGAGCACCCAAAATTGCATTGGTAATTAGCATAAGGCCCCCTTTTTTAGCTCACACCCCCAGGGCGCGAGCATCCAAGGACCGGGAACCTGCACAACAAATCGGAGAGATTGCTTTGCTGGTGGGGCTCTGGGGGGACGGGGAGTTATGTGTGTGTGTGTGTGTGCCCTGTGAGTCTTCGTGTAAGATCCGGAGCCGGAGCATCTCTGAAACAAGGCAGACCATGCAGCAGTTCACAATCTAGGTATCACTTAGGGTGTAAGTCGCCCCAAGGGTCCAAAGGATCCAAACAAGTAGGTAATTGGGCTTAGGATAGTAGTTACGTAGGTTACTACTTTGGGGAGTATATGAATGTATGTGATAATTCCTGAAATTAGGTACTTGGGCCCTTAAGGGTCGGTGTAGTGCTCAAGGTGTGAAGCCTGGGGTTGAAGGTTAATGTAGGAACCTGATTAAGAAGCCTTGGGCCTTTATTGGGGCTCCTTAGATGGGTGGTTGTCAAAATTATGGTACCTTTGTGGATCCCTAATATAGTACGACACCTATTTAGGGTACCCAAAGAGGGACCATAATTTTGACAACCACCCATATGAAGCCTACTATATTGGGGTTTAGGGCCAGGGTTTCTTAATCAGGTTCCTACATTAAGGGTGTTGGATGTGGGAGGCATGACTATGCGAGGTCCACCTCGAGCTTGGGGCTACGGGGCCACGGGTTAACACATCTCAGGCAGACATGGTTGAGGGTCAAAGACAAAGCGGCAGAGAGAGAGAGAGAGAGCAGGATAGAAAGCAGTTACAATCGGCAACGAAAGGCCGGAGATAAAATTGAGAAGTTGTCCAACAAATCAAACATAGGGGCCTTAGTCATTAGAATAGGGTTTTGGGAGATACTGTAGAAAAAAATAAGGAACCCCCAAAATAGGATACATGCTTATTAAGGCCTCTATTTTGTCTGCTTACGGCTTCCAGCCCCACATTCCAAGCTACTCGGCCCACGCCCGCAACCCTAAGGCACGAGGCCTAAACACTGAACATCCTAAACAACCTCATAAACCAGGACTCCCCAAGTACCCTTTAATAGAGCCCATATGGTCCTTAATAGAGGGTATTTGGGGTATAATAGAAGCCACTGAAGGGACCCTGCGCTCTTACTGGTTGCCTGTGCTCAGCAGCCAGATTACATTCGCGGGCAGGGACAGAAACCTCGAGAGGCTTGACTAGGCCCAAGAGTAAGCTAGGAATAAAAAGGGTGCCCTTTTTGGTTTAAAGGGGGTTATAAGGGAACCTGAACCCTTAAAAAAGGGAATAAGGGCTTACTCTGGGTCCTAGCTTGATGCGTTGCCAGGAGTGCTACGAGGTGTGAAGATTGAGGGTCAGCGGTTTTAGTAAGTATATTTGAGGGGCTTTAGGATATTGGAGTTTCCTGGCTTCTGGCTATGGGCCGAGGGTTCAGGGTGTAGGGATCGCAGAGACTCCATTCTCGCTTCATTAAGGAATATACCGTAAATCATATTACCTACTATAATTTAAGGTATGTTCCTTAATTAAGGGATAATGGAGTCTCTGGGATTGCGCATTAAAAACCACAACCCTCAGCATGAGCCATGACTCCAGGTTGGCTGCTCGGGTCATCAGACGGTTTTCTTTCCTTGCATGTTTACCTAGTTAGTGGTTGGGATACTTAGGATTAAACATGTAAGTTGTTATGCCCGATTGGGTTTACGTACCCATAAAAATTTAAAATGTTACCCAACTATGACAAAGTTATATACGGCTTTCAGGACGTATGGCTTTCGCGGCTTCGGGATCAGTCAAAGAAACGCGCAGGGTGTGAGCAGTGCTGAATGCCTTCCCGAGCTTTGGCCGCCAGCCCCCCCGTGCGGCTACGCTGGGATCACAGCTTGCGTTAGTCTACCAGACCTGACTGACATACCACACCACGCTGACCATTTCTTTCTGTGTGTGTGTGTGTGTGCGTGCAGCTGCCATATAGAATCCCTATTAGACATAAACACCGTCGTAGAACCAAAGCCAACACCGTGCTCGAAGTGGAGATTGTTCTACCGGTCTGCTTCAAGGAGGAAGCATTGGCGACGCACTTCCTTTACGGGGGGCTCCTAGCAATAATGACCTCGCGAGAATTCCATCAAACCTTCTAGAAACGAGAAGCACGGAGCAAAACTCGCAGAAGCATTCGGATGCCTCGTGCGCTCCGCACATGTTCGTTCGGCTCAGGCACCCAAAGCAGATCCAAAAACACCCCACTCACTTCTTGCACGGCCGCTAGCGATCATTGAGGACTAGATGCTCAGGAGGCGATGGCAGCAGGCGATGGCAGCAGACTTCGATTCCGATCTGATTTCATGCCCCTGGATCGACACCGCGCTGACCCGGCAGCACGTGGATCTCAGCGTCCCGCGCCGCAGTAGCCGTCACGCTGGGCCAGAAGAGGACAACGGCCCCAGTGGTTGGGAAAAGATGAAGGCAGCCTGGGCGCGACGCATTTCTGAAACCCTACCAAAGCCCTTATCCCAAGACGCTGAACCTTAACACCCGAGCCCCAAAGCCTACTTGGAGGTTCATGGGTAGTTATAAATGGGCTTACAAGTCCCCTAATTAATAGGGGTTATAACCATAGTTACCCCAATAATAACCCCGCTTATAACTTCCCATGAACCTCCAAGTATGTCACATGCCCTGAGCTGCAAAAAAAAACAAGCCCTTCGCGCATTCAACACGATCCACAACCTGCACAGGACGAAGTGATGAACTCAACTCGATCAGCTGTAACGCTTGTTGCCTCCCTTTCGTCACGTTTCTGGTGCTTTTCTTGAGACTCTTTGGAATAGGATCCCTGAACCCCGAACCCCAAACTATGATTTCCGATTTTGCCCATAGTCTCCATTGTAGTTCCTTTCTTTTGGTTAACCAAAATTCTCTATTAGAGGATCCTAACCATAAAACTGGTTAACCAAGAAAAGGAACTACAATGGGAAACTATAGGTAGAGCTATAACCCCCAATATCTTAGGATTCATAGAAGGAACCCTAATAAGGTAAAAGCCAGAAAGTTGGAATATAATTATCCTAACCCTTCTATGGTAAATTATAGGGTATCCTACCCTGAAACCATATTCCAACTTTCTGGAGTTCACTTTATGCCTCCAGGGACCTTATTATGGGCTCCTAAGGGAACCCGAACCCTCAAAAAAGGGAATAAGGGCCTAGCACAAGGAACCCTAATAAAGGCCACAGGTTTCTTAGTCAGAGCACTTGCGACAAAAGCTTCGGCATTTTGGAGATCAGAGGTTCCCTATAGATCCCCTAAAGGAACCCCTTAAAGGTACCCTCATAGATCCCTTTAAAGGAACCCTAGGATTTCTATCATCAACCGTAGGGTTCGGGGGCTTAGGCATTCTGGGTTTACCTTAACCCTGAAGAACCTACCTTTTTAGGGTTCCTCGTTATGATTTCCTTATATACGTCCTCAAAAAGGTAGATTATTCCGGGTTCAGGTAGGGTTTAGGGATGGGCTGAGTCATGGAGTGTGAAGGGCTCGATTGGATTTGGGAGTTTCCGAAAAGAGGGGACCCTAATATAGTACCCTAAATAGTAGGATCCTTAATATAAGGACCCCAAAATACGGTACCCCTAATTTTCGCAAACTCCCATTTAGGGTCGCGGGGCTTAGAGATCCGGGTTGGCACTTTGCGCTCAGAGCTTTGGAGTCTTTAGAGGTGCTTCTCCTTGCAGGCTTGTGGTTTAGGGTTTAGGATTTAGGGTTTGGGGTTTAGGGTTTAGGTTTTATAGGGTTTAGGGTTATAGGGTTTAGGTTTTAGGGCTTGGGGTTGCAAATCAACCTAGGAGAAAGAGCTCGGCTTCAGTGCATGTGCCACCGGATCTTGCAGCGATGGCGGCCAGGATACTTTTCACACATTGCTCTGAGGGCAATGTGAGTCTCAATCGGCAGCACCTGCTTGCTGCAGTGTCGATCTTGATGTGGATGCTGGAATCAGAAGTCAGCACTTCCACGTCCTTCTCGCTCAGGCAGGACTCGAAGCTGCTGCACATTTGATTCTCCCTGCGATTCTTGCTGCCTTTGCTCCCACTTGTTGCACTGACACCCTTCGCGAGCACTTCAGAAAAGGCTTTGTTTTGGTCATCCGACCATGGGCCAGTCTTCCATGACTCGGCCAGTGCTGCCCCTGCCTCAGGGTCGAGACAAATCAACCTATCGTAAGCCCCATGCAAGCCCTAAAGCAATAAACTCGAACGTTATGACTGTTTAAACGAATTCTTTCACCTGCGTGCAGCCAATTGGGACAAGCCCTGCCGGATGTTGGGGTGTCGTCACAAATCTCTCACCCAACGTTTACGTTTATTTGGGTTTTGCGAATTTTCCAGCTGCATATGACTACAAAAAGACATTGGGGTATGTTGTCGTTCGCAGATGGTCCAAGAAGACAAAGACCATACAGGGACAAGACCCCATTGTATTCTGACGTCTACACCTGGGTTCTGTCCGAATGCAGACTACCGTCCGGACCAATTGCTTTACTGCAACTAATTAGCCAAGTATGCACGTAATTGCGCTTCTGGTGAAAACCCCGAACCCTGAACCTTGAACTCAATACCCTAAGCCCTTAAACGAATTGTGATAGCATGGAAAATCAACTCTTGCAGCTGTGAGACAGTCCCCCAGACGCGTGGCACCGCGAAAGCTTCTTGTGACGGCCACCCGACGAATAAGCGCCGAATGGGCTGGGAGCAAGTACACCTGGCAAGATGGGTGTGTAAGACATCCTAAGGCTCCATAGTATTTCCTTTTTGGGGCTGATATGTCGAATCCGATAAAACTACTAATTATGGGGCCTCTGGGTAAGGCTTACATAGGACGTGCACTATTGAATCACAAACATCGGGTGTGTACAACCCTTCTCCCGAGACTGTCAACCCCCAAGAACCACCCCGGGACCACCGCATCCGGGGGAGCTGGTATATGTCAGGTACTGCCCCCTTACAGTAACAGTCTGTAATAGGGCTACTATTAAGGTCCTAGTATATCTATATTATGAAAATTATTCAACTATTACTGAGTGGGGGCCGTACCCAAGGTATATGTCATACTGCTTCTAGCAATGACTGCAGGAATCAGCACGAAGTACCGTAAACAAAAACTCATAATTTAAGAACGGCAACGCAAGAGTGAACTAGCCAAAAACCTCCATAGCAATTGTGGTCATGATAAGTAATGCCAAGAACAATAATAGTAGTAGAACAGCTGAAGATGTTGGCAAAAACACGGCGAACCTGAATCATATCCGTATACAAACCATGTCAAGAGAAATCCAGCGATTCTCGGAATACCTTGTTACGCTTTGCCCAAAAACATGACATAAGCAAGACCCCACTCCTGTGCGATCAAGGCACCATGGGGTCAACGACCCAGGTGTCGATGAGAGAGGCGAAGGCATGTGGTGCAAAGACCTCCACTTTCACTGCTTTTAAGAATCCTAGCCCCTGCACATAGATATAATGGTTTGTGGACCCTATCCTTGTCCAGGATTCGTCTGGGTTTGGGGCTCTGGATTCAACTGGAGAGTGGTTGAAACTAGTCAAGTTTCATTGCTTCTGTGCATGGTTGTTGGTTTGAACATGTTTGTACAGCGTCGGCTCGGCGACGGAGTGTAGAGATAAGGAATAAGTGTTGTCAAAATTAGGGTCCCGTGTGGGGTACCCTAAAAAGTTGGTGCCGTATTATACTACTGTTGATGATATAAATCTGCATTACCTTAAGGACCCTAACCTATGGGAATTATGGTATGTTCCTTATTATGGGTAATGCAGGATTTATATCATCAACCGTAACGAGCCAAAAAAGGGGCCCTAGTTTTGACAACCACCCTAGTGGGCTTCGCGCCGGGAACTGTGAAGCTTGGGCCTTCGAGACTTCCTTCGGCAGTTTGGGCTTCCCCAGAGGATTCATACGTAGTAGTTCCTTTTAGGGGCTCATATTTAGAAGCCTATAAGGTAATCCCCCCGAAAAGGAACTACTATGGAGCCTATGGGTAACGAATTCTAGCCCAAAATGTTGTATGCGTAGACTTTCAGGCCCCGAAAGATATCGTCTGCGGCGGTGGCTCCCACAGGCGTATTTGGCAGTACAGGGCGTCTCAAGCGAAGACACTTGACTGTCCTCAACCGCTCAAATCTGATGAACATCGGATTTTGCATTATTCAGCCTCTGCTCAGCCTCTATGTTACACCCCTCAACCCCTAAACCCTAAACCCTCAAGCCCAAAGCCCCTTAAATAAACCCAAAAGCCTCCTACCCCCTCGAGCTTCCTCTGACCCAGAATCATGAAGACCCTTCTTTCCTTACGGGGGCAAGGGGGGAGGGGGGTAGGTGGCGTTAAATCCTTAATTAGGCCTTATTAAATCCGTATTATAGGTATGAGGCCACCTAAAAAACAACGGATTTTGCAAGGCCTATTTAAGAAAGTATAGTCCACTAGCCCCCCTCCCCCCTACCCCTCGAATGGTCCCTATGACAGAATCTGCAGTCCAAGCACCCTCAGCCGTAAATGTAACTTCGCTCCGAGGGAGCAAGTTCCAAGGCCCTATTTGGAGGGTCGGGGGACTTAAAGTAAAAGCCAGAAAGTTGGAATATGGTTTCAGGGTAGGACACCCTATAATTTACCATAGAAGGGTTAGGATAATCATATTCCAACTTTCTGGCTTTTACCTTAGTAACTGGTTATTTTTAGGGACTTATAAGTACCATAACCCCAATTAGGGTCCCTTTTAGGGTACTAATAAGTCTACTTACTACCTACTTACTAAGTCCCCCGACCCTCCAAGTAGGGAGTTCAAGGAGGATGGCGGATTCAGGCTCCCCTTAAAGGGAACTCCAGAAAGTTGGAATATGGTTTCAGGGTAGGATCCCCTATAATTTACCTTCAAGGGGTTACGATAATGATATTCCAAGGTTCTGGCTTTTAGTTTAGGGTTTATAGGGTTTATAGGGTTTAGGGTTTATATAGGGTGTAGAGAACTACTGCCACTCCCCGATTGGTAGGGCTAGGATCTAGTTTAGGGTTTAGGGTCGTTTAGGGTTTACATAGAGAACTACTACTACATTCAGGCTCTCTGAGAACCCCCAAGAATCCAAGTACCGAATAATCATATACTCTCCAAACTTCTAACCTACATAACTACTATCCAAACACCGAGTACCTAAAAATTGGGTCCTTTGGACCCTTAGGGAACTACTGCTACTCTCCGATTGGTAAGGCTAGGATCAAGCAATAAACAGATCAAGCCAATCACTTTGGGGAGCCACAGGTGGGCCTTAGCCCTCAAATCTGGAAAGCCTGACCCGAGATTGTCAGTAAGATCTTCAAAAAGGCGCACCTGCACGCCGTAAAAACCCATGGCGGTTGTGGCCGCGCAGCAACATGCCATTCCCTGCCCAGAGACGCCAATATCCCTCACATACGGAATATTCCCTAAATCATATTAGGGATCCTACTATAATTTAAGGTATGTCCCTTAATTCAGGGATATACCTTAAATTGTAGTAAGATCCCTACTATAATTTAAGGTATCTTCCTTAACCAAGGGATATTGGGGTCTCTGGGTGGCTCGCTCCAAACCGTGGACTCACATGATTTCAAGGTCTGGGGTGCGACGAGGTCGACGACTGCTAGGGTTGATGATAGAAATACTAGGGTTCCTTTAAAGGGATCTATAAGGTTACCTTTAAGGGGCTCCTTGAAGGGATCTCTAAGGGGTTTAGGGTTTAGGGCTGATGACATAAATCCTGCATTACCCATAATAAGGAATATTCCATCATTCCCATAGTTTCGGGTCCTTAAGGTAATGCAGGATTTATATCATCAACCGTACCACTACGAACAATAGAATATTTGGAGTAGCAATGGTGGTAATGAGTAGTGGTCGTCGTTGCAGTTAGTCGTAGCGGTCGTAGTAGTGAGGAAGAAAATGAACCAACACGGAACTGAAACCAGATGTTACGGAAATTGACAAACGACATGTGGGGCTTGAACAACCTATGGATGCTAAAGATAAACCCTAGTTCAGGCCTAAACCTCCATGCACCAAACACCTCAACCCCAAAACTCGCAAAGATATCCTCACAACATGGACCACAAGGTCAAGATTATGATTGCCGGAGTCCGGCAGTGCTCAACCTCAGATCCTAAATCCCTGATGCCTGAAACGCCAAATTGTGCATATCCAAACCCTGAAACCGTACAACCTCCAGAGGAGCTTGAACACATCTGTCTTTGAGCTGCCTAGACTCACCATGAACAAACATTACCAAAACCGAGTCTGATTCCTAAAAGATCTGTCCACAAACCCTTGGACCCAGAATGAACATTTCATAAACCCCAAAACGCGGCATGGTGCAGTTTGTGCAAAGTTGGGTGAGTAATCCCTACAGTAAACCCTAAACCCTCTCATTCCTCACCCTAAACCCTAAACCCTATAAACCCTAAACTAATCCCTAAACCCTAAACCCTCTCAACTATAAACCCTAAACACTAAACCCTAGAAACCCTAATCCCTAAACCCTCTCCTTCCTGAGAGAAGACCCGCTGTAAAGGACTCGCCTGGAGCAGCTGCAGTGCTGGGTCCGCCGAGATGAGGGCTGTCCTGGTTCGGAGCATTTGGAGGATCCAGGGTTTAGGGGTTTAGGGTTTAGGGGTTTAGGGGTTTAGGGGTTTAGGGGTTTAGGGGTTTAGGGGTTTAGGGGTTTAGGGGTTTAGGGGTTAGGGGTTTAGGGGTTTAGGGGTTTAGGGTTTAGGGGTTTAGGGTTTAGGGGTTTAGGGTTTAGGGTTAGGGTTTAGGCTTTAGGGGGTTTAGGGGTTTAGGGTTTAGGGGTTTAGGGGTTTGGGGTTAGGGGTTTAGGGTTTAGGGGTTTAGGGTTTAGGGGTTTAGGGTTTAGGGGTTTAGGGGTTTAGGGTTTAGGGGTTTAGGGTTTAGGGTTTAGGCTTTAGGGGTTGAGGGTTTAGGGTTTAGGGTTTAGGGTTTAGGGTTTAGGGCGTCTCGCCGCGCAGCGGCAGTATTTTCTATGTAGGATGGCGCCCCAACACTCCCAGGGGTGTGGGGGGGCGGCATATCGACGTCTAGCGTTCGAAGGCGATTCCACCACTAAACAATACACATTGGTTCCTCACCTTTTCCCACCCGCTGTGAGAATACACAGGCTACCACCCAAAACATTGCCTTTTAGGGTTTAGCGCTTACGCCCTCAATTCCCACCTGCCCGTGGTCTGTCTGTTGGGGCCGCACTGGGGGCCAGGAGGGGGACCCTCGGACGCGCTGGAAGCCGGGGGGCCAGGAGGGGGGGGGGCCAGGGGGGGCCAGGGGGGGCCAGGGGGGGCCAAGGGGGCCAGGGGGGGCCAGGGGGGCCAGGGGGCCACAGAGGGCCAGGAAAGACTCAGAACGCGGGGCAGGAAAGACGCCAGGCCTCCCCCTAGGACCTGCCTGGAGCCCCCCGGGTCCCTGGAATCTGCCAGCTGGGCAGCCCCCGGGGCCGGCTTCTGGGGCCTCTTTCTAAGGGGAGCCAAACGGAAATGCCCACCAAGGGCTTTGGTCGTCGGGTTTAGGGTGTTCTAATCTCTTGAGATTCGAGGGAATTCCCTCTGCAAATATGGGCGCCACGCAAGGGGCCTAATGGCTTGGCTCAGCCCTAGGGGCTGAATTCGACCACTCTCCGATGGCTCCACCCATTGTCCATCCAGACTTGGTGTCAATCACTGCCGGATTTCCTTCTGGGTCCAGGCACCCTAAGAAAAAGGGTGGGTACGGCCTAAGCAGGCCTGGGTGGGAATTTAGGGGTTTAGGGTTTAAGGGTTTAGGGTTTAGGGGTTTAGGGGTTTAGGGTTTAGGGGTTTAGGGTTTAGGGTTTAGGGGTTTAGGGTTTAGGGTTTAGGGGTTTAGGGTTTAGGGGTTTTGGGTTAGGGGTTTTAGGGGTTTAGGGGTTTAGGGGTTTAGGGTTTAGGGTTTAGGGTTTAGGGTTAGGGGTTTAGGGTTTAGGGTTTAGGGTTTAGGGGTTTAGGGTTTAGGGTTTTTAGGGTTTAGGGGTTTAGGGTTTAGGGTTTAGGGGTTTAGGGTTTAGGGTTTAGGGTTTTTTAGGGGTTTAGGGGTTTAGGGGTTTAGGGGTTTAGGGTTTAGGGGTTTAGGGTTTAGGTTAGTTTTGCTTCGGGTTGCACGGTTGAGGGGACTAGAGGTTGAGGGGTATAGGGTTTAAGGGTTTGGGGGTATAGGGGTTTGGGGATTTAGGGTTTAGAGCATTTGGAGTTCCAGAGGGTTTTGAGGGAGACATTCGGTTGATGATATAAATCCTGCATTACCTTAAGGACCCTAAACTATGGGAATTATGGTATATTCCTTATTATGGGTGATGCAGGATTTATATCATCAACCGTTTCACTCCAGGCGAGGTTAAGCTAGAAGACTAGCCCTAACACATAAACTGGCGGCACCAACCACCGCCCGTCCAAAGTTCATTTTCTCTCCCGTGTTTCTGGCAGCTACGTCTATGACATTGTGTGACCGGTATATGAGTCCTTGATGCTTGTGAAATGTGTTCTGGTCTTTGACAGTTTCTTCGGTTTGTCAACTAGTGAACTGTTCACATCTTTCTCATAGACATATATATATATATATATATGTATATATATATATATACACATACGTATATACATACATATGTACATTTACATGAATATGTATATATATATATATATACACATACATACAGTGCACAGATAACCCATATACATATACATCTCTATTGATTTGTGTTCAGAGCCTTGCCACCGAATCTACTCACATAAACATAATACGTCCAGAGCCACCACATGCCCTAGACAAGCCCTACCACAACCTGGACAGAGCCCCCTCGCCACCAAACCCTAAACCCTAAACCCTAAACCCTAAACCCTAAACCCTAAACCCTAAACCCTAAACCCTGAACCCCTAAACCCTAAACCCTAAACCCTAAACCCTAAACCCTAAACCCCAAACATGGCGGCTCTCGCGAAGACCAGCCTGGACGTTCCCTCGCCGAAAGTGAACCAAAGGCCTGGACTCCCGAAAGGATCTGGGGGAACTACTTTTAGGGTTTAGGGTTTAGGGTTTAGGGTTTAGGGTTTAGGGTTTAGGGTTTAGGGTTTAGGGTTTAGGCTGAGTATTGTAGAGTGTCGTACAGGCAAACTTCTCTGCTGTGGTCCTGGAAATAGCATCGTCTAAGTCGGTTGTAACGAACCAGGCTAAGGTTTCAAGGATCGCTCCGGGCTTGGGACAAGCTTCAGTTACACGGCTCGATCGTGAGCAAGCTTCGGCATCGATTGCTTTCAAGCAGCACAACCTTGTTTAATTGAACATGCCGATCTTTTGCCGACTGATCGCCCTTGCCAGGTAAACATCCAGTCATCACCCGAAGGTCTGACAACAGCCAGGATCGAGGAATTTGCAGTACTACCACGAACCCTTTCATGGTCGTGTGATGTCGTGTATGTATATATATATACATATTAGATATAGATGTATTTATTTGCTTATTTGTTTATTTAGGACCACCAAAGAGCAACAGCAATCCCAAAACAACTTGGGGGAAGAGTGCTTGGGGTTCGAAACTTGCTTTCGGAGGCTCAGGGCTTTCGAGGCCTGTAGGACATCGCACCGAAAAGCCAAAGAATGCCAAGCTTGAAGTTGTCATCATAGAACACTGCAGCTCAACTCATCTGCAGAGAAGGAAACCTTCGGAAAGCACGTTAACACCGATAGGTTCCACATCAGAAACCACAAACGCAATGCAGATCCGGGCACTGGCCAGGAAAAGGCACCACCAAGCCAGCGTGAAGGGTTGACGGATGAGGCCGATAAAAACAAAGAGGGCATAGATGCCTTCAGGATATCGGCCGCAAGGTGGAGGTTGCCATGTTCCCAAAGGGTCCTATGTATCGATATAGTAGAATGTAGGGTTACCATATATTAGGAATTACTATTACGAATTAGGGAAGTATCCCCCATAACAGTACAAAGGACCCTTTGGGGTTTACACCGGCTTCGATGTGGGCTTTCAATTGCAGCTTCCGAGGCTGAGCTTCGGCACTTCAAGAGAGAGCTGTGCTAGACTCATAACGTAAAAGCCAGAAAGTTGGAATATGGTTTCAGGGTAGGATACCCTATAATTTGCCATAGAAGGGTTGGGATAATCATATTCCAACTTTCTGGCTTTTACCTTACCTCCAAGTGAAACTAAGCCCAAGCGGTTTCCAGGCTCAGCTGAGGGCTGGGGTATTTTCTGTGATGTAAAGTACGGAGTTGCCGGCTCCCCAGTTTAGGGTTTAGGGTTTCATGTTTGAGTGTTTGCAGGTCCTGCTGTTCGCTTTCCCTGCTTGCTCTTTCAGAACTGAACCCTGTTTTCTTTCCTCCTTATCAGGGCAAGCTTGTTTGCACAATGCTTGAGCTCGCCAATGCCGATCTATACAGAAGACGCAGAAGATCCCCTATCTGCCTCTGCTCTTGCTTGTGGACGCTTCGCTGGCCGAAGTCTACCAGGCGGCATGCGTGAGGTACGGTTCTGGAATCGTGTAGAATGCCAACAAGGAACCCTGAGGAATACTATTGGTAAGTATTTCGTCTATAATTAGCTTCCACAAGTAGTACCACTATGTCGTATCCCGCACATTTATCCGTGCCAGGCCCTCCGCATTGCTCTCTGGAGAATTCGGCTGTTCTTCTTGCTTCGGCTTTTGGCTGCCTGGGTAGCGCTGCGTGAATACTGCTGTAGATTATGCGTTGTCCCATGCCACGACTGTTGTGAGAAGACACACTCTATGACTAAAGCAGATTTAAATCCACGCGTTTGTAACCAGAATCCTTCGCAGGCAACTCTAGTGTCTTCCCAGCAACATGTGCCCATCCGAATGCCGACTGCCGGTGTCTTGCAGAACGCACCAAACAGGCCCATGTGGGAGGTGCCCTTGTCATCTCATGATTGTTGCTGCATGTTCTTGTTGTTTGCTCTTTCTGGCGGAAGCTTGGGGGTTGCACAGTCTTTCGAGACTTTGCCGGGATTAGGTTTTGCTCGCTTGGAGCGAATCCAGCGGTGTTTCTCTAATTCCGTTTACAATGCGCGCAATATAAGGCCCACCAAGACAATGCAAATTGTATCATATTGTGAAGACCCTACGATCTACGCACCAGCCCACTTAAGATGCCAAGCCTGCATGGGTGCGGCCTGCACGCCTCCACAAGCCATTGTGTGAAACATCCTTGACGTACTGTCTAAGACTCAAATTTAACAGGAACCCCTAGATCCCATGTGCAAAGTTTGCAAAGAAATGCAAGAAACATGAAAACCGAACCCTGAAACCCCAAATGCACGAAATTCAAATGCACGAAACTCCTAAGCCCTAAGCCGTCGTGAGATCCAAAACAAGCTCGGGAACTTGCAGAATCCAAATTGAAATGCTGACTCCTGTGGCTCCCAACCCCCTACATCCTGCACATCCCGAAGCCAAACCGCCCGCAAATCCTAGACCCCAAGCACCTGCAGCGGGCGCCGGCAGGACCAGCGCAAGGAACCTCAGCTTCACTGAAGGTTTTTCCTTTGAGGCTCCGTGGTCTTTCAGGTTTAGGGCTTAGGTTTTAGGGTGCTGAAGGTTATTTTCCATGACTTTTCTAACAAGAACCGGAACATGGAGGGTTTCTGTCTGCTCCAGTGGTTGAGGGCTTCCTGTGGCAGTGATCTTCGGCGGCCGTCCTCAAGTTGCCAAATACCCTACATACCAAACCTCCATTGAAGGTGTCTCGCCTTAGATTCGAAACCCTACCACTGCTCCCGAAGCCTGGAACCCTGAACTTCGCTTTAGGGTTTAGGCGGTTTAGGGTTTAGGGTTTAGGCTTTGCGGATTACGTCTTTCAGTCTTGGGGGCCCCGGAAAAGCAGTATCATAAAGGCCTGATTAACTTGCAATCATGTCATGCTCCTTTGGAGTCTCTAGATAACTGGCCAGTGTAGAACCACAAACCTGAGACACAAATCCGAAAGACCCGGCAGCTTTCTGCCGCAAAGTCCTTGAATGCGAAACCCAATGAATCTGAATTGTCCTTTAAGCCCTCTGAAAATTATCTACCATTGTGGCTCGCTACAAAATAGTAGGGAATTTTTTGTAAAAAAGATCCCAAAAAGGACAACCCAACGAAGCTGAACCGGGCAATCCTTCGAGGATTGATCCGAAACCCGAAAAGTGAACACGCCTTCCTAAACCCTGCAGCCAAAATATCCTATACTGAATTTAGAACCTTAGCAAATTTATAATTTTAGCTGTTTCTTAGGGATTACGATAACCAAAATTTAAAAAATATTTCTAAGTTCCCCTAAGAATCCTTGTAACTCCTAAAGCCCACACAACCCAACGAACTCCTCAAAAACTGCTTCCAACAACCATATAGAACCATCTAACTCGTGGACAAAAAGACAAAAAGCTACACACATGGCTACAACTTGACAGCCCTCACAGACCTTGAAGCCCTATAGTCCCTTCCAAAACCCCCAAAAGCAGGTTAATACAAGGTCTGTTTTTCTACATACCTTTGGCGTCCAGGTTAGTAGAACTTCAGCGGTGAAGCCAAGCCAAGCAAAGAAAGCCGTGGAAGCCGTGCACCCATCGCCAGGCCTCGTGGGCTATGTAGACGTTTTAAGGCTCAGCCCTTGGGCCCCCACCCTGTAATAGTGGTATAATAGGAATATACTAGGGCCCTAATATAGTCCTTATAGCCACTATTACAGGGTGGGGTCGCCTTCTAAGCTATAGCCCCGGGCTATGGTCTTAACAAGAAGGGTTGATAGAGTCTGCTGGTAAGAGGTTTATCGGCGATCGAGTTTAACCTTGAATACCGGGTTTTACTGTGTTTTACTAGAGCGGACGAACAGGCTCTTACAGGCCTTCATAGTTGGCAAAAAGCGTCGAAGGAGCCACACAACGTTTTGGCTTAAGGGTTTGGGGGGGTTGGGTACATGGGACGGGGAGGTCTCTTTTCAGGGTTTTTAGGGCCAGGCTCTTTCTAGACCCCCTCCCAGAACCCCCTAATATTCCCCAAATACCCACTATTGAGGGCCGTAAGGACTCTACTAAAGGGGCCCTTGGGGGGTCCTGGTCTGAATTCGGGCCTGTCGGGTCGTTGGGTTTCAGCGCTAGCCTGGTCGGAGCCGGTTTATCTGTGTAAGCTGGATTAGCTGGATGCAACTTTGGAGGAGAAAGTCCCCAAATCACCAGCATCGCTAGAGCTGTACATAATGAAACTCGTAACAGGCAAGTGCTGTTCCTCTGTGTGATAGTTAGAATCAGTAAGGCCTGAACATCTTGCCGAGCTGGGTCAGAACGCCAAAGTTAACGCCTGAAAAGCTAAAACCCATGACGGCGCTTGACCCCGAACCCCTAAACTGTAGACCTTCAACCTAAATCAAATTTCTCAGCAACCGCGTGACTGTAGAACCCATAACCTCAACTCTAGCCATCAATCGCGAACGAAAGCCTGAGCCGAAGCCCTGGCTACCCTTGCTTGTGTGGGAGTTTCTGACAAAGCGGGAATGTCATCCTTATCCAAACCGCAGGTGCGGCCCTACAAAACCTCATTATAAACCCTAAACTAGATATCCGAGGGCTTGGGAAAACAGAGCCCTACAAAACCCAAGGTGAATCAAAACCCTCATAGAACCATTAGAGGGTGACCTAGACTCTAACGTCAAAGCCCTTAAGGCCTAAAGCTCCAAAAACTGTAAAGCCCCTGAAGCCCAGAACTTAGCCGAAAGCCCTAAATGCCCTAAAGCCCTTAAGCTCTGAAATGCTACATACAATTGAGGTGGGTTTTTTACTATAGCTATAGTAATCATAACCTATGTACTCCCAAAATTATTCAGGCCCCTACATTTCCCTACGTTGCATCTCGGGTCATGCTCCCGGTACCTCGTCGGGGAGGCCCGGAGCGATACGGTAGGCGAGCCGCGTGTGGCTAAGGTCGCCTTTGGGAAATCGAAGGGCTTACCCAGTGTAAAAGGCCTCAATGTAGTTCCTTTCGGGGGTTCATATGTAAAATCCTATCAGGTAATCCCCAAAAGGAACTACTTTGGGGCCCTCCTTGTGCCCTCAAACAGGGGTATATGGTCCCAAATAGTGGGCATTTAGGGTCTTACAGAGGGTAGATGGAGGGTCTAGGTACAGTAGATGCCAGAGAGGTGGAGCATCATTATCCTCATGCCCTGAAGGCAACATGTAAGGGATCCCAGCACTAATCATCCTAAATCCATGTTCCAGCTTTCTGGGATTCAACATATGTGGCTCGGGCTGTGGGTTTCCTTTAGGGTTTTCAGGGTGTTCAAGGTTTGTATAGGCATTTATCCGGGTTCTTTCAGGGCTTATGGCGGGTTGTTGGTTTGGAGCTGCTGGATTTAGGTGATTTGGGCTGAAGGGCTTTAGAACTTTGAGGTTCAGGGTCTGGGTCTGCGGTCTACGATGTAAAGCTTTAGAACTGCTTTGTTTGTCTCTGTAGGGTCTAGGGTTTCGGAATTCGGAATAAAGGGCTTTAGGTTATTTAGGTTTGGGTCTGCTAGGCCACGATTGCATGTCTGATAAATGCTACAAAGATGCCAAAACCATGTATCAACCTAAACCAGACTGTCTAGGGGTACCAGGAGCAGCTGGATGTATGCCGCCGAATGCACATCCTAATACCTGATGACACAAACCCCTTGAATGGTGAATTGCACCGAGACCATCGAGGTGCCTCAGGAAGGTCCAGGAATCTCGAGATTTGTGGTAAGTGGGACGCGTGAGGTAATGCAGGGGCCTGAATAATTAGAATAGGGTTTGGGCCCATTACACTAGTCCGTTATTATAATCAAGGAACGCCCAAATAGTATAGGGGTATTAATTATTTGGGCCCCTATATTAGATCACTCCCCAAGAACTTCATGGAGAAGCGACGGGTATCGGGTGATGTGTGGTGCGAGAGTTGATCTCACACTCCCTGGTTCGACGTGCAGAGGTGTACTTGGAGGTTCATGGGGGGTTATAAAGGGTTCCTTTAAGGTCCCTTGAAAGGGGGTCTATAGGGATTCTATAAGGGTATAGGGTTTAGGGTCTACTTGGAGGTTCATGGGTAGTTTTAAGTAGGGTTATAAGTAGGATAACTATAGTTATAACCCGTATTACTGACCCCACTTAAAACTACCCATGAACCTCCAAGTAGGGATGGATACGGGGGGGAGGGGTTCGACATTGGGGTGTCCTCTTGTTCTTCAGGATTCGAAGCTTGCAGCTGCTGGTTCTGCATTGAGTCTTTGGGTGCTTCAGAATGCGATACAGCGGCAACTCTGCTGAACACCTATAGTTCCACATCTGACACCTGTAGAACTGAGCAACATCAAGAACCCTCAAAGGAACCCTTTGAGGAACAGCACATGTCAACGGAACCCACAACCTCTGATTTGCGGCGAAAGGTGCACTTGGCATCTGGGATGCTCTGGCAAAGCCTATTCATTGAGACTGCAGGGCGTTGAGCATGTGTTGTGTCGCTGTCATCTTTTGTTTTTCGTGGTTAGGGCTGGGACTACCTTATCATGTTTGGCCGCCATCGTCTTCATTGCAGTTTACTGTTGCTTGTGCTTCCTGATTTCTTGTTGCTTCGGGTCTCAGCATGCTCCATCCTTTTTGTTTCCCTCTCTCTCTCTCTGTCTCTCTGTCTCTCTCTCTCTCTCTCTCTCTGTTCTTTCTCTCTCTCTCTCTCTCTCTCCGTCTCTTTCTTTCTCTTTCTCTCTCTCGCTCTTCTCTCTCTCTCTCTCTCTCTCCGTCTCTTTCTTTCTCTTTCTCTCTCTCGCTCTTCTCTCTCTCTCTCTCTCTCTCTCTGTTATTGTACCGTTCCGCTTCCGCTGACGCATGCAAACAGAACCCCTGGGGCGTTGCCACATGTGCCGTGAAAAGGGGTTTTGGTAGCTTAAAGCAGTCAGTGATTGTGAAACTCTTCCACTCAGATTCACGCTGAGCCGGGTTCGGAACTTACGAACAACAACAAGTTTCTCGGACCCAGGTGTATCTTCTGGTTACAGCAAGGCCCTGCCATTATATATACGCTTTGAAGCTCGAGACCACAATAGACCCGACACCGACAGCGACCAACCCTCCCGGCGCCACTTAAGCTTTCCAAAGACAGGAGGACCCCAAGCCTTTCGGCAAAAACACCTTCAAGGCCCCCAAAACGGACCTTCCAGCTTTAAGAAAAGGCACCCTGTAACCCCTAAACCCTAACTCAGGCACAGTTTTCTTCGACACCCAAACCCTAAACCCCAATCCCAAACCCCTAGACCCTAACTCCAAACCGCTGACTTCGACACCCAGCAAATAAATTGCCGGAGGGGCCCAAAGAGCCAAAGAAGCGACAAAGGCAGCCTGGGCAGGGACGGCACAACGACTCGTCGAAACTTTCTAAGGGTTTAGGGTTTAGGATTAAGAGTTTAGGGTGTAGGGTTTTAGGGTTTAGGGAGAGCCTACGAAAATGCTCTTCGAGACGACAGCCGGGCTTAGGGAAATAAAATCCTTTTCAGCCCAAGAGGATGAAATAACCAGGTTTGGGTTTATCGGGTTGTGGGCTAACAGTTTTGGCCTGTGGGTTTCTGGTAATGCAAACTCTACGAACTTAATTATGGGGCTTGGGATGTAAAGTCTGGCACAATACGGCACCTATTACTTAGGGTACCCAAAAAGGGACCCTGATCTTGACAAACTACCCATGTGGAATCCCGAACTGCAGCTGTGTTGCGCTGCGGCGGCCGCGCCAGCGGAGACGGGCCCTGCGGCCATCGGCACGGTGAGGCCTGGGGCGGGATCCAAAGAGCCCAATACCCCTTAGAAAAGGAATAGAGCTTAAATCATAATATGAAGCCCTATACAATTGAAGCCATATTCCTTAGTTAAGCATTTTTGGGCTTTCTGGGGGATCCCACAAGAAAGAAGGCTGCTGGGAGGTTCATGGGTAGTAATTAATGGGGTTGTAGCTCCCCTAATCGGGGTTATAACCATAGTTACCCTAATTATAACCCCACTTATAACTACCCATGAACCTCCAAGTGCTGGCAGTGCTTTCCTTTGGAGAGGGGTTTGGGTCTTTGGGGCTTCAGGGTTTGAGGGCTTGATCAGGGTTTCGGTGGCGCTCCAGGGCACAAAAACAAGCTGATGTAGGTCAGGGCCTGGTGTTTGTGGGATTATGGTCAGGAGATGGCTTTAGGGCTTAGGGCCTTTAGGTTTTGGTTTTATCGATTTAAGGTTGTAGAGTTTACTGTCGGGTGTAAGGCTTCTAGGTTTATGGTCGTCGGGTTTATGGTTAATCATTGAGTTGAGGGTATGACAATACCCTGCCCCCTTAGGTGCATCGGGGTGTTGCTGCTTCCTGACAGTAAGCATCTAGAATTGGTTCGGCTCGTTGTTGCGACTTAAGAAGTTTGCCTCTCGACTCTCCGGGCCTTTTGAACCTAAACCCTAAACCCCAAACCCCTCGATTTTGAGCCTCCTGTGGAGCATACTTGGGTTGCTCAATCCTGGAGGGTCCTCTAGGCTCTTTATTGCGATCCCTCGCTCAAACCCTAAAAAGGGGGGTTAGAAATCAGTGGTCTGCATTCGAGAAGTCCCTGGTCAGGTTCCCCAGACTCAGGTCCTCGGCCTCCAAAGGAGGACTCAACTTTTCAACCTCAAAGCACCCTCAGGCTCCATAGTGGTTCCTTTTTTGGGGCTCATGTTTAGAATCTTATGAGCTAGTCCCAAAAAGGAACTAAAAACATTTTTATGTGAATCTTATGAGGTAGTCCCAAAAAGGAACTACTATGAGGCTTCTGGGTAGGCACTTTTTGGTTATGCACTAACAGGCCTCAGTTTTTGCTAGGTTTTTTGGGGGGGATCTAGGGCCTGAGGGCTCCGGGTAGGGTTTGGGGTTTAGGGTTTAGGGTTTAGGGTTTAGGGTTCCATGGTCTAGGAACTATACAGCTTCTCAGGTCAGGGATCTTACCAAAACCCGGAGCACAAAAGTCAAACCCGGCATAAACCCAGAAGGCAAACTGCCCTTCCCGCACACTGAACACTCACACTTAACATCCTAAACCCTACCGCAATCCCAAATAACCTACCTTTCTAAGGGCATATATAGGGAAATCATAATAAGGCACCCGAAAAAGGTAGGTTCCTTAGGGTCCAGGTAGAGCTAAGGGCCCTTAACGCCTGAACGCAAAGTCCCCTTCCGAGTCAAAGGGGCCGATGCTGGGCCCATGGAACCAAAGCATTGCCAAGGCAGGAAGCCCATGCACCTGACGCTTGTAAGGTTGAAAGTTCTTTAGTTCAGGGGGCTTGGGGTGTAGAGTGCATAGGAGTTTTTAGATTCTTGTAGGGTGAAGGCTTCTGATTTAGGGCGTTGGGGTGTAGGGTTCATAGCGGTATAGGTTTTAGGATTTTAGGGTTTTTAGTGCTAAAACAGGAGAGTCGGATTTCGGGTTCACGGCCTAGGGTTGGGGTTCACAGAAGTGTGGGGGGGCTTAGGGCTTTAGGGGTTCAGGGCTTCAGAGGAGTGCCGGGCTTGGGGTTTGGTTCAACCACCCGCACAGTAGATGCTGAAGTCTTGGAAGGGTTCCTGTGCTGGCACGCAAAACATGTACCACATGTGCACATGGATCCCGTAGGGTGAGAGTTTCCTATAGGACTTTAATCAGGGGTTGCTGTGTTCAGACTTTTTGGGCTGGGTCAGGGTGATTCTGACTCTACTTCAGGCCCTTTGATTTGTGTCAAGAGTCTCGCGGCTTTGATGCAGGGGCACAAAAATCGACACAATACATGCGGCATGCATATATACACATGTGCATGCATCTGTTGGTGCACGCGCGCGCACGCGCGCCTGTGCATGTGTGTGCTCGCTGTGGGTGTGACTGTATATGTCTACTTACACTTGACACGTATGTTTACAATGCCGTGAAAATTAGGTAAGCAAAAAGAAACAAACAGACATTACATGAATGAGTCCGTCGAATAAGAAAACGCAAAGCTGAACGACTATGTACAACAAAACTATGGTGTGTGGGCGATGAAATAGAAATAGGTACTCCTGTATGTGCTGGTGTGTATATGTATGTATGTATGTATGTATGTATGTATGTATGTGCGTACATATCTGTGTGCACATGCACATACAACTACATCATACGCACACATATACACATGCAACTACACCATACACATAGACATACATAGACCCATAACTACACAGAATATACCGACGCACGCACCATCGGGAAGAATCCCCCTCATTGTATACCGAGACGCGCAGAGATCCCAGCACTGCCAGAAGAGTCGGGACCAAGGGCTGGTCAGCTCACCACCTGCCCGGAGGCTCCAATATCCATAATTAAGGACTATACCTAGGGTTCCTTTAAGGGACCCATAGGGGATCTATAGGGTTTAGGAAGCCACATCAGGAGGGCTCCGAAAATTAGAGGTAGGGTTTATAGGGTTTAGGGTACCTTGCTATTTTGGGTCCTTATAGTGAGGATCCTACTAAGGTCCTACTACGTAGGGTACCATAATAGGAAATCTTTCTCGGAAACTCCCAGATAGTAAACCACCCAGCCAAAAGAACCTATAAACCATTAACTCAAGGATTAACTTTAAGGGTGAATATAGGGGCCTTCATAATTAGAACTAGGTTTTGGGAATATGTACCACAGCAACCTATAATCTAGGCACGGAAGGAAGATTTCAAGGGGTATGAACCCTACCAGCACCCCTCCCCCTAGAAAAGAAACAGCAACACCCGTATACAGGGTTTATGGGGTCATGTGGCTTTGGGGTGTTTTCCTTCTGTTTTTTTGGCGGGGTTGCGAATCCAGGGTTCTGGTCCTGCTGAGGGTCGCTGTGGAGTGTGTTTCAAAGAGCTACGTCACTGCTGGGATCAGGGCCGCAAAAGGAAGTCCGGATTCGAGAACATGCCGCCTACGCATGGATTTGGGGCCCGGTATGGTTTAAGATTAGGAGCTTCAGGCTTAGAAGGTTCGGGGTTTACGGTTTACCTATAGTCTCCATTGTAGTTCCTTTTTTGGGTTACCTTATGGGATCCTGAATATATAATTGGTTAAGCCAAAAAAAGGAACTACAATGGAGACTACAGGTATGGCTTCGGACGTAGAGTTTCGGGTTAGGATCTGGGGCTTGGGCTTAAGCAAGTGAAGTGCTCTCGTTGTCGGGCGAAGGCAAAGCTCCTACAAGAAGTGGTTTGGTGTTCCGAGTCAGTTTTGTTGCCGCACATTCTGCCCTAACTCTGGGCTTCGGAGGAAGGAAGAACGCACAGAATACACAGACTTGACTAGTCGTCGATCCTGAAACAGACTAAATACAAGTGGTGACCCGAGCACAAAACTCCAAACCCGGGACTCTTACTATCCCTACATAAGCACCCAGAGAAACCCCTACGTGGAGGTTCATGGGTAGGTATAAGTGGGGCTATAATTAGGTAACTCTGGTTATTATAACCCGTATAAGGGGGCTTATAACCCCATGTACAGCTACCCATGAACCTCCAAGTAGCCGTAAGACATCCCATAAATCACGTACCAGACGCCGGACAGAAACATCACAGCAGGAGGCGCCTCCCCACAGCGCCGTCACCTGAGGGCCACAGGCGCTCAGAAGCTCTAAAAACCCTGCGATTTTTTTCAGGATGCGACCCGGATCCACGCCAAAAAACAGTTGGTTGCCGGATCCACAGGTAACCCATAAGCCTCCGTTTTCATCGGAATAAGGTACCCCTTGTTTTCGGAAACTACCACGTTCTCTTAGGAACTGAGAAGCAGAAACCTGAAAAGCCTAGGTTTTGCAGGGTCCAAAGTCTGAACGTGAAACCTCGGATACTGTGAACCAGTCTAAGACAGCAGTCAGTAAGCCTCCTTAGGCACCAGATAGAGTGGCAGGAACTGCAGGCACGCCCAGGCGATTTGAAGGTAGGCCGATTCAAATAACAAGTTTCGAACATTTCTAACAGTTATAACATAATCCCCTGAACCCCAAACCCTAAATAAGGCACACAAAAAGCGAATCTAAACTGGAAACGAAGCCTTCAGCAAAACTGCAAACGAAGCCTTCGGAACACTGAGCAAACAGATCTTTGGGGATTTTGCTGCCGACAGCATCACGACAACTGATGCAGATGAAACAGACTGGAGGGTAAAGATACCAAATCCTAATCCCACTTGGTTTCAATTTCGAAAGCCCTAAACCCTAACTAAACCCTGAAGCCCTAAACCCTAAAACCTATAACCGTAACTAAACCCCTAAACCCAGACAGCAAGCCCTGCAAATCTCAGAACCAGCTCCCAAGGCACTGCGGCCGCATGCTGCAGCCGCAATCCATACCAGGTAAGCAGCACACTGAGCCTCAGCTGCTGCAAACTTCAGGGCTCAGGGCATAGGGTTCAGGGTTTAGGGTTTAGGGGTTTGGGCTTTTCATTGTAGAGCACAACAGCAGAGGGGAGATTCACAAAGTAGATGAGGCTGCTGGAATGTAAAGATCCTGTCCTGTTATAGCAGCATCCTTGAGATGAGAACCCCTAACTTCAAATCCGCACCCAGTACTGGGGCCTGAATAACTAGAATAGGGTTTTGGGATCTATTGAAATGTAACTATAATAAGGACCCCTTCCCAAAGAAATATAGTCAAGGTAATTACATGGTTTTGGGATATATTCTACTATAACTTTAATAAGGACCTCCCGCCCTCAAAAAAAAGTGAAGGTCGTTATTTAGGTCCCTGAAGTAGGCCCGTCATCTGATCTTGGGGAGACCCTAAGCCCTAAACGCCGTACTACCGGGGACCACAGATCCTTGTTGCTTCTTTTTTGAGCACCTGTTTCCGACTGCAGAATGTTCTCCCGTTGGAAGCCTTTTTCTAGAAGGCAGGTGATGTTTAGGGTATTTAGGGTTTAGGGTTGAGGGTACAAGGAGTGTCCCGGAAATTTGAGAAGATACCACACTGGGCTCAGGAGGCAGAAACATACCAGCCTTGGGAAGTCTCTTACAGCCTATAGCGATGTACAAAAGGTATTATAGACAGGTAACCCCAAAATATTGAAGGTACTTATTAAGGCCCCTAAAGTCTCTTATAAAAGGTATAGTATAATAGAGATGTAACCCTTATAAAGGGCGGGTGAGAAAAGTATGCTGTAATGTCTGGCTCAGGCAGCCTCGGTTCTCGGTGTTCTTTCCACGGAGTCTTTGTTACGAGTCTTCTTCAATCGGAACCCAGAGACTCCAAACATAGAAAAATAAGTGTCCAGGTACTAACCCCTAAACCCTACACCCTATCTTCCGATGGCTTTTAGTAGCTCTGGGCAGAGTTGCCGGTCTCTGCCCGTCTTTTGGAGTCTTCTGTGGAAAACCCATGCCCGTTTTGAGGCTTCTGAGCCTGTAGACCAATACAACCTTAAGGGTTGCGTCACGAGAGGCTTGGCGGAGTCACCAAACAATTATACAGCTATTGTATAACATGAAAATGTATAGGATATGGTCACTGAACGTAGGGCCGCTGAACACTGGTGTGTGGGCCAAAACAGGCTTGATAAGAAGTGGGACTAACAGGACACACGTGGGCCAAAAGGGATATGCGGGAAAAGAACCTTATTGGCGGCGGTAGAGCGAAACTTAAGGAAATCCTGTACAGCCTTGCATATCCATTGACTCGGCTTTAGCTATCCGTCCGGGTAACGACAGGACTGTCGCCACGCCTAAGATGAACCTGGGATGGCGTCTGTTGGTTGTAAAAGGGGTTGAAAAAGGCAAAGGGTCTCAGTAGAGGAGAGTGTGTGGTGTTGATGGTTTGGGGAGTTTTGGGCCATGAGGAATCAAGCTTTCGGCCGCTTGAGAGTTTATAAGATTGTGTGTGGTCGGTCGGCCGCGTCGGGGGGGGGGGGAGGCATGGGACTTTCTGAAGTTACCCTTCCACACTTGGTGATGCCACGACTTGTCCAGAGCAACCAACAGCCTCAAGCAACCCCCTGCTTTAAACTTATGGGGCTTAAGGTTTACCTGAATCCTAAGGAACCTACCCTTTTTAGGGCCCCCTAATATGATTTCTTTGTATAAGCCCCTAAAAAAGGTAGGTTATTTGGGGCTTCAGGTTCAAGGCTTCTTGCTTGACAGCTTGAAGGGTGCCGGGTTTTGGGGCTCACAAGGTCAGGGGACACCCAACCCCGCAGGCTGAAAGGCCCAGAGACTCCAATATCCCTTAATTAAGGAATATACCTTAAATTATAGTAGGATCCCTAATATGACTTAAGGAATATACCTTAAATTATAGTAGGATCCCTAATATGACTTAAGGAATATACCTTAAATTATAGTAGGATCCCTAATATGACTTAAGGAATATACCTTAAATTATAGTAGGATCCCTGATATGACTTAAGGAATATTCCTTAATTAAGGGATATTGGAGTCTCTTGGTGAAAGGCTGGCCTTCGACAACCGATCTCCCAAACAAGCCCGGACACCATCTGAAACCTAGATTCCCCTCCCTCCCCGCAATCCTGAACCCCAAACCCAAAGCACTAAACCCAAAACCGTAAACCCTGAAACCTCAACCCTCAACTCTAAACCCTGAACCCCACCTGGTCTGGGTGATGAAAGCCGCCAGGAGCACCAACCACCAAGTGGCCGAGAAGGGCAGCCGCACGAAGCCTTCAAAGAGCGCATCTTCTGGAGGTGACTTAGGGTTCCTTGTGAGGATCCCTTAAAGGATCTCAAAAGGTTGTCCTTGAGCTTCAGCGTCAGGGTTTTCAGCATAGCACACCCAAAAAAAGCTACCTTCATATAGATTTGTTTAAGACAGGCTAGGGCTTGATTGTGCGAGAAAGTGCACGAGGTCTGAATATGGTCGTGCTCTGCTACGTTTGCTTCTGAGTTGGGGGGTGCTAGATTTCGGTGACGCTGTTACGACTGCATCGGAGTGTGAGAGATCTGGAGGTCCATCTTTTCAAGTTCCATTGACCTTTCAAATGAAAGTTATGATCTATGCTTGTGAGTTCTTGGATCGGCACTTCTAATCTAGAAACCATGTAATCGAGCTGCAGCAGCCCCGTTGTAAAATCAGCTCCTCCGAAACAAGCTACATGAGCCCGCGGCAATATCATTGTTCCTAGAAGCGGGCCCGGGAGAAGGGGTATCGTTCTTGGGTTTCCCCTTGGCTCAGGATCAGGTTTGGGCCCGTGAGGTTTGGAATGGCACGGAATCGACACAAATCGAACTTAAGCCTTCGAAGCCCAAACCCTATAGTGCAAACCCGTGCAGCTGGCAATCACCCGTGCCTGACCCAACGGCCAGTGCGCAAAGCAGTGCGATCTCTAAGAGAATACTGGACCTGAGGAATCGAAGAGAGCGCAGGAATTGATCGAGCCGACGACATAAATTGAAGGCTAACTTCATTTTCCTCGTCAACCCACACTTGAGGCTTGCAAGGGCAGTTGCAAGGTCTTGGTCTCATTTAGGAATAGGGGTTAAGGGAACGGGGTGTTGAGGTTACCAGCACCCCTGCATTTTTTTAGCTGTGTCTGATGTTTCCCGCTTTCGTAAGAGGGAAGATGGAAGGTCTGGGAAGGATCTGTGGTGCACAAGTGGTATGTATGTGTGTATGTATGTATGTATGTATGCACGTGTGTATATATATATAGATACATATATGGGTGGTTGTCAAAACTATGGTCCCTCTTTAGGTCCCTATTATAGTACGGCACCTGGTTAGTATTTAGGGTACCCGACAAGGGACGATAATTTTGACAACCACCCATATATATATATATATATATTATATGTATACATGTGATTGACTACGTACACCATACCCACGTCTATGAATCCTGGAATGTCTGTTTGAGCCCCTATAGGTTGATCTTCCTTTCGGCGTTTCCGATTCGGTCTTGAGAACCTGCCAGCGGGTTTGAAGACGTATCACTTCCGACGAGGGTGAAAAAACAGCAGGTATCATTCAACAAAAGCAGGATTCCGGGTGTATTGCACTACCACTGGGTGCAAACGACTGCGGCTTCCGAGAACTCAGTGATTTTCTTCATGGTATTGTGGTTTAATCATCGTCTTCTCGATTGATAGGAGTGGCATCTGACACTTAGTGGATCCATCGATGGAGGCACAACTTTGCACTGCTCTGCCCTAACTCTCACGGGGCCACAGCAATCCTCAAAGGAGCTGACAAACTTCAATAACAAAGCATCCCACAGTCTGCAAACAAAAACAAAAATGGTTCGCTCGAAGGTTCCTTTTCTGGGTTCATATGTAGAATCCTACAAGGTAATCCCCAAAAGGGACTACTGTGGGGCCTTAGGAGCAGCCCCAAAACGCGAATGACTTTCAACCCAGGAGGCGGAGTGTCTTCGGCCACCTGCCGATGCGGTAGCTGCCTCAGGCCTGCCAGAACAGGCACCTGGGGCAGAGCCCTTTAGGCTTCGTTCAGAGGTGCCATCATGTTCAAAGGCTTGTGGCGTTTAAGGCCTTTCGGGTTTAGGGGCTAGGGTCTCAATGCCTTTAGGGCTTTTGGGGGGATCTGTATAGCGACATACGGACTACCAGAGGACATTATCACTAAATATTTATTAAACGTTTAGACCCCGCAAGGAACCCCCGCCCCAGGAGACCAACACCAACAATACCAAGACTGAGACCCAACTCTGGTGTGTGGTGTCGGTTTTGGGGCATAGGGGTCCCAGACCCAAACCCTAAGCCCTGACTGAATGCTAGGCCTGCGGCTCTTCCGGCCCCTAGCCTTAAGGTGCCTAGAGACTTAAGGAATGTACACCTTAAATTATAGTAGGATCCCTTGTATGATTTAAGGTATATTCCTTCATTAAGGGATATTGGAGTCTCTGGGTACTCGAAACCCTGTAGATCCCTTATAGATCCCTTCAAGGAACCCTTATAGATTGGGTTAGGGTATGAGACTTACCTTTGGTTAGTAGGGAATGGAAGAATGGTAGTAATAGTAATTATATCTGTACCCCATTCCTCCATTCCCTACTAACCAAAGGTAAGGAGAAGGGAAGCCAGTGGGCGAAACGGCTTACCGAAGAATCTGATCCTCGTGAGCTTGAGGTTGAGTGCCTCTGAGTTGGAACACAGTATCTGCGTTGTAGTTTTGGGGCTCTGAAAACTATTTATGAATAGGTACCTCTATAGGAACCATAAGGGAAACTAAAAAGCTTCCAAAACTGCCACCTAGGTATGTATTACGCCGCGCTGTTGTCGGACTATGCAGGGTTTGGGGGTCCAGAGAGTGGCGGGGAAATCTCATTCACTTGGGACAACACCGTACTAAAACCCTAAATTTCAAAATCCCGGCAGAACCCACCTTCTGTTTGTTTGCGGCCCTTCCGCTATATGCCACAAACAGTTACTTCGAACTAGCTATTATGGTTTCGGGTTCCGAGGACCATGGAAGCTAGCAAAAGGTTACACCCAAGTCGGCGAGTCACGGCGATCAAAGGCGCTCGAGATTTCCACACATACCTAGGCTGCGGGGCGGGGCACAGGTCCTGGAGGCTTGCACACATGCGAAGAGGACATCAGATTGAGGCTATGGGGGCTATGGAAGAGGCAAGCCCCAGGAACTCCAAGCACCTGTAATTAGGGTGCCTTGAAGGATCTTCGGTAACTTGAAGGTCTTGGTGAGTTAAGATGTTGGAACCCTCAACTCCTAGACCCAAGAGTAGCGTAGGAATAAAAAGGGTGCCCTTTTTGGTTTGAAGGGGCTTCTAAGGGAACCTAAACCCTACAAAAAGGGAATAAGGGCCTACTCTAGAACCTAGACTCCTAGAGAGAGGCCTGGGTCTTGAGCCTATGGGCTTAGGGTTTAGGGCTTGCGATTGTCGAGTTGCAGCTTCAGGGCAGGAAGGGGCTGTCCCGTAGCAAGGGCTTAAGACTGGTCTTCGAGAGTTTTATGCTTTCAGGTCTAACTGTAGCAAAACCCAAACCTACCTGATTGTACCTTAACTCTAAACCTTGTATGTCCGCTAAAACATGCGCCGCAAATTCCAACCCTGAACTTGCCGTAAATCTGCCACCCTAAACGTAGGACGTTCCCTGAATGTGATCTTTCTAGCTAAAGCCCGAACCCTGAACCTTCAAACCCTTTCCCAAGACTTCAGGGAAGCTCCCGCCAAAGCACTGCAGCGGCGTAAAGGAATGTGGAGGAGCATCCCGGAACGGCGGGTGATCCTGTCAGCATATCCAGCATTAGGCTTGTGGTGTAATGAATGTGGGTGTCGGTTTAGGAATATAGGCTCCTTTAATGCGTTTTTTGGGGGGCTAATTCCGAATCCGAGTAAAATTTTTGGGGTACTAATTAATGCGTTTTTTTTTTGGCTGGGGTGATTTTTTGGTGGCGGGGCTGTGCTATTTGCTGATGGTCAATCTTAAGGCAGCCACGACCTAAACCCCCACCCAAACCCCCACCCAACCCTAAAACCCTGGCCCTGAAGCCCGAAAATCTCTTGCAGAATTGTTTCGCTTATTGGGGCGTCAGGAAAGGACTCTGTACTACTACTGTACTACTATTGTACTATTGTACTGCTACTGTATGCCTTGCTTATTGGGGGGGGCTGCTAGGGTGAACCGCCGAATCGGGGATTGGACCCTAGCTCAAAAAAGGCCTCTCCAGTACTAAAGTTTGTATAAAAATTCAATTTGGGGTCCAATCTGGACCGACTCCCCTTTGGGAAGGGTTTAAGGCTTAGGGTTTAGGGTTTGTTAGGGTTTAGGAGTTTAGGATTCGTTAGGGTTTAGGGTTTGTTAGGGTTTAGGGTTCAGGGTTTAGGGTTTAGGGTTTCAGGCGCTGGCTTTATGCTTTGCTTATTGGGGGAATGTGCTCACTGGCTTTATGCTTTGCTTATTGGTAATATTTCTGTATTATTACTGTATTACTACTGTACTACTGTACTACTGTTGTACTACTACTGTACTACTAGTGTACTACTGTACTACTATTGTACTACCACTGTACTATTACTGTACTACTATTGTACTACTGTACTACTATCGTATTACTACTGTACTACTATTGTACTACCACTGTACTACTGTTGTAATACTATTGTACTACTGCCCTACTAGTGTACTACTACTGCACTACTATTGTACTACGGTACTATAATCGTACTACTACTGTACTACTACTGTACTACTATTGTGCTACTATTGTACTACTGTACTATTATTGTACTACTACTGTACTACTATTGTACTACCACTGTACTACTGTTGTGTTACTATTGTACTACTGCACTATTATTGTACTACTACTGCACTACTACTGTACTACTATTGTATTACGGTACTATTATCGTACTACTCCTGTACTACTACTGTACTACTATTGTGCTACTATTGTACTACTGTACTGTTATTGTACTACTACTGTACTACTATTGTACTACTACTGTACTACTGCTGTATTACTATTGTACTACTGCACTATTATTGTACTACTATTGTACTACTACTGTATTATTTCTACTGTACTACTATTGTACTACCGTACTATTATTGTACTGCACCAAGCTTCAGACGTGGTCGATTGTGGGTGGGAGTGTGTGAGTGTAGGTTACGGAGGCAAAAGTGTTCAAAATGAAGGGTTTTTAGTATTGGTAGTAGTCTTGGAGTGATCGGGGCTTGGTTTCCAGCATTTGGTGATCCCCAGATCCCCCCGACCCCCGACCGCGCGTTCGCGCAGAACCGCAGACCCTGCACCCAAGCCAACCCCCCAAACCCCGGCACCTCCCAATTCCCTGCCACTCAGACCCCTGACCCCTGTCCGGCCATACTAAAGTGAAATTTTTTTGTTTGGTCCGGGGGGGGGGGGGTACCCCACTATTAAACCGACACCCACATTATCTGTATCTCCTGCTTCGCTTTTGCAATCGTCCTTCTACTTGCTTCTGGTTTTGGAAGTATGCCCATCTGCCTACTGCATGCTCGTCTGCGGGTTGGCTTACGCACCTGGCTGTATACTGCAGGGTTGAACCAACATTTCGTGCCCTTAACAATACACCCTAAACCCTTTCTCCTTCAAGCCATCTTCCCACCCATGGGTCCTCGTCTACGAGCAATGCCTACTCGGCTGTCGCCACAGGTGCTAGGTCGATGCTTGCTCAGCTTAACATGCACTTAGGGGCTTCGCGTTTAAGGGTCTATGCATCTCTCCCTAGAAGCCCTTTCCACCTTCGTGGTGGGTTACACTACTTCGATATATACAGACACTAACCTACAATACAAGCAACCAGGCTTGGAGGAAATCTTTTTCGGCGGGCCCCGAGACCCAAAGCGCGGTGAAGTGTCTCAAATCACTACATATCGGCACTTCCCAGGGACTCCAAAATCCTGGGATGCAGGATTCAGGATGATGCCTTAGCTTTCAGTAGTTGTAGGGCTCCTCAACTTACTTCCCCAATAAGACACCAAAATGATAGGTTAAACTTTCCGATTCCTACTAAACTACAAGAAGCCAAAAAGTTTACAGGTTGATTGGGGGATCTAAGTCAAAACCCCTAAAGCCTTCCATTTAACAAGCCGCAGTCTCTGGATGTCACCGTTACCCTAAGGGTCCAAAGGACCCAATAATTGGGTGCTTGGGTTTAGGATAGTAGTTATGTAGGTTACTATTTTGGTGAGTATATGATAATTAGGTACTTGGACCCTTAGGGTTATGGCCGCCTGCTACCAAAGGTTCCGACGACAAACCCTGGATGCTGTAACGAGACTCGACCCCTGAGGAGCAAGTGCGCTGGGACTCCAACATCCCTCGGAGTCTTAAGCGCCCGCCCGTAGAACCATCATAACAGTTATTTCTGCAATAGTCGTGTTGTCGTAAGAATCCTAAGAGGACGAAAGAACCAGGGACCCTTTCTTAAATGGCCGTTGAAGCCTTCACGCCGTCTTGCAAGCGGGTTTTAGAGTTCACTAGCCCGTGCCTGCAAGCTCTGTATTGAATATGCCCAGTACCATTCCGTTAATAATCCGTGGCTACCACCAGGAAGGGAAGGGGCCTTCCGAAAGCCGTCTAGATTGCTTGCATAGGCTGGCGATTACAAGTTTCTGTAGTAAACAACCTCGATGCTGTTCATGATCAAGGTCATCACCATAATCATCATCAACATCGCATTGTGATGGTGGTGATGGCGACGGCGCTGCGTGATGCCATCATGCATGTAATGAAGGCAGTTGCTATCTCAATCGGAATAGCCGACAACCTAAGACGAGCCATGCGCAAGCCTCCTTGCAGACGCTGGCATGTGCCATGGCGCTTCTTGCTCCCTCAAGGACCATGGTGGCAGTCTTCAATTCCAAAACGGTTCCCAGAGACTCCAATATCCCTAAATTAGGGAATATACCTTAAATTATATTAAGGATCCTACTATAATTTAAGGTATATTCCTTAATTAAGGGATATTGGAGTCTCTGGGTTGGGTGTTCAGGGATTTCTGCCGTCGAGCATTGCTTCTCAGAGTTTGGGATCAACCAACAACGGCTTTCAGGTGTGGATGGCGGAGCGGATTTAAGTTGAGCTTGCGGATGCTTTACCTCACTCCATGATGTGGGCCTTGCGTTTTAAGCTGTATGAGCCACGGCCTCTTGCGACAGAAGGTGCGCAATCGGTGGTGTGACAATTCATTACTTGGCCGATTGGGCGTCTAAGCGTAAGCAAGACGAGCGCACACTTTCGTGAAACCCTCACTGCCATAGGAACCAAGGAATCTCATTGCCGTGACGTTGGCTGGGACTGCCTATGTCTGAAGGAGCTTCAAGCTCAGATAGGAATGAGTAATAGTAGTTATATGGTAGTACTATGATAGTAATATGGTAGTAATATGGTAGTAGTATGGTAGTAATAGTAGTTATACTGCTTGACGAAGTCTGACGAAGGCTTCCTGTCAGAAGCTTCCAACCCGAATTTCAGGATGTGCAGAAACGTAAACCTCTGACCCACTGTTTGGTCGTCCGCGGCTGCTCTCACGGCCAGGTCCTTGAGTTCAGCCGTTCTAAGAACCTGATCAAGGAATCCCTCATATTCTGTGCGACGCCTATTGCAATTTACAAGTAACGGCCTTCATACTTAGCATGGAGTTTGGGGGTACAAAAAGTATACTTACTCAGATTACTCAGGGGACATTATTCCCACATGTTAGCACGGACCCAGTGTTCTTGGATCAGATTCTACTTGGAGGTCCATGGGTAGTTATAAGTCGGGTTATAATTAAGGTAACTATGGTTATAGCCCCTCTTATAGGGGACTTATAACCCCATTTATAACTACCCATGAACCTCCAAGTAGACCGCAGGCCCTCTCAGAAGGCAAAAACAATCGGCCGCAGTCAAAGCGACCTGGAGCCGTTTAGGACGAAGCCTGGGTGGTGCTTACCCAGACCCCCGGGAGCATCTAGAAAGTAGATCCCCTAGTTTGGGGCCCTATACTACTAAGGGTACTTTTAAGAACCCCCATTAAGGGATCTACTTGTTGGATCCTTTTGGGGGTCTGGGTACAAGTGCAGGATGACAGTTGTAGTTGTGGACTAGAGCTTAGTAATGGTATCTATCGGGGCATATTATACATGAATATGTATAGACATGTATGTATGTGTATACATCTACACACACACACGCTTATTTCTTGTATCACAGGCTCACAGATACGTAATGTTGTATACTGTTCCTTAACCCTGAAGAACCTACCTTTTTAAGGACTTATATAAGGAAATCATAGTGGGGAACCCGAAAAAGGTAGGTTATTCAGGGTTAAGGTTTCTGTTTAGGCATTTGGCACCTTAGGGTCACGCTGAGAGCCTCTGCTGTCTGCTGGTCTTGAAGCCCAACCCTAAGGCTCCATGTACCCATATAGTAGCTACTTTGGCCTTAAAGGGGTCCCTATATAGGTACATTAAGGCTGAAGTATCTACTATATGGGTACATGGAGCCTTAGGGCAACAGCAGGCGAACTCAAGGAACATGGTGATAGAAGATAGTGCCAACCAGTACGGTCCAGACCTCCTATTTCTTCAACAACAGGCTAGCTCCTTAGCTCCCGTCCACAAGGTCCATCGATTTTGGAGTGCCATGAAGAAACTCCGAGGCAAAGAGTTTGGGTGTACAACTTTCGGGACGGGCAGGTTTTTGGATAGGGTCTGTGGTGGTGCTTTACCTAGGCCCCAAGCAAAATCCTCTTGATGTTACACCAGGCAAGACCCAAACTGTTCAGAACTCCCACCATTCCTACCAAAGAAACCTTGAGGCCTCCCAAAGCACTCCCTTTATAATTAGGATAGGGCTCCTTAAAGGGGTATATTATAAGGGTTACTACAAGATAGGGGCCTTAATTATTATAATAGGGCAATGGGGTCTGGGGGCATACATTCTTGTATAGTTCTGATAAGGAACCACCCAAAATAGCACTGATGCTTTTTTTGGGCCCGCCCCAATATTACATGCAGTTTGCGAGTCCCCAAGCACGGCTTAGGTTCTCTGGAACCCACTGCATGAGGGGGAGCGGGTGGGGCTGTCAGGGTTCTGTGACGGCTTCCATTAGGGGAAGGGGAGAGGACGTTTTAGCTGTAGGCAACCACCCAAACACCGTGGCCTTGATAAGTAGAAGAGCGTTTAGGCGTAGATTGTACCCCGACTAAACTCAGGAAATAGTATTACTCATCATTCAGACGAACAAAGTTTGATGTTCTCGATAGTTTTACACAGAATGTCCGCAATCTGTAGGTGCCCGTTCTCTTGTGCGAGCTTCTTGTCGAGGGCGTCTGCATGGGCTCCTGCCTTCAGTAAGGCCTCGACCACCTGCAGCTGCCCTGCATCCACAGCCCAAGTGAGGGCTGTTTCGCCAAGTTCACTGCGGGCCTCAATCTGGGCTCCGGCCGTAAGCAAGGTCTCGACCACCTTCGGATGGCCGCTTGCTGCAGCCCACATGAGGGCTGTATTGCCTTCCTTATCCTGGGCCTCCAGATGGGCTCTGGCCTTCAGCAACACCTCGACGACCCTCAAACGGCCATGTTCTGCGGCGACAGTGAGAGCTGTTCCGTGCCTACAAGAAGCCTCCAGCTGGGCTCCGGCCCTGATCAAGACCTCCACCACCTCCAAGCTGCCGCGCTGTGCAGCGAACATGAGGGCTGTTTCGCCAGACTCATCGCGGGCCTCCAGGTCCGCTCCTGCCGTCACCAGAGCATCGACATCGTCCACGATGGACCTCCCTGCAGCCCAGAGGAGGGCTGTTCTGCCTCTTTCATCTCGGGCTTCCAGCGGAACTCCGGCCTTCAGCAACGCCTCGAACAGCTTCGGCTGGTCCTGCCCTGCAACAGAGAGGAGGCAATCTGCATCACAGGCCTCCGGGTCCGCTCCGGCCTGCAGCAACGCCTCGACCACGTTCAGGCGACCGATCTCTGCTGCAACTTTGAAGGCTGTTTCCTGGGCTTTTAAGTAACCAGGGAGAAGAAAGTAGAAACTTTTGTTTCATAATGGTTCCTTTAAGGGAAGAAAGTATTAAAGTATGGTACTCCAAAGCCCAGTGTCGCCAAGTTCACTGCGGGCCTCCAACTGGGCACCGGCCCCCACCAAGGCCTCGACAACCTTCAGGTGGCCACTGAAAGCAGCTTCCATGAGGGCTGTGCGGCCGAGCCGATCCAGAGAGCTCGGATCCGCATTCTGGTGAAGCAGCTGCTCCACCCGAAGATGCTGGCTGGTGTGTGCCTCTCCTGCAACAAGTTTATTCGCCTTCTCGCGCAGAACCTGCTGCTCCGCGTACAGCGCCTTCCTGTGTTCGTACATCTTCTTGTTCACCCTTCGTGAAAATTTGAAATGTGAGAATCGCAAAATCATCTTGTCCGCGAGGCGCACCTCCTCTCGGCGGAACCCGGTAGCGGCTTGGCGGGCGAGTTGTGGACTCACGACCTGGCAGGGAATGCAGGGAGCGAAGCGAAGCGACGATAGCAAAGAGGCAGCCTCAGAAAACTCCGCACCTGGAGGAGCTCTTGGTCCTTCCGGTCCTGCTGCTCCTTGGCCTCCGGCGGTGAGGGAGATTCTCTGCAAAATTCTAACTTATCAGGCGAGACGAGCTCAAAGATACGGGGTCTCTGTATAGGGGGTGGCCACGCCTTGACCAGCTTCTCCACATGCGCTGCGAAGGCCGCGTCCAGGCTGCAAGCGCCCGAGCAGTCGATGCACTGCCACCGGAGCCGCGACCGCATCGCGAAGGCTTCCGGGCTCCAGTTCGTCACGGACTTGGCCCAAGAGGGCAGGCGGGCGAGTAGCCGCTTCTGCAGCGCCGGGCTCGTTTTGTCGCAGGTGCCCATGAGGTCCACGACCAGCACTTTGGGAGACCAGAACCCGAGGCCCCAGGCTGCGAGCCCCAGAGTTGGGATTTCATGCGTGGACAGCACGGACTGCGACAAGTTACGCTCGCCCGTGATCTGTTTGTTGACCAGCGCGATGACGGTTCCTTGTGCCTTTTCGCGCATCCCGAGCACGAAGCTCATGCTTGCAATGGACCACATGTTCCCTGCAAGCGCACTGGTCTGGGGGTCCTCGTAGCAGGAATCGAGGTTCTCGCTCGCCTCGATGGCTTGGCCCAAAAAGCTGTCAGGGTGCAAGGTCGCGTGCTCTATTGCCTTGGCAAAATTGGACAGCTTCTCCTGCGTCGTTCGGTTCTCGGCGTCACCGTCCCAGAAGCCAGCCCAAAGCAGTGCATGATGACGGGTCTCGGTCAGCTTCACCAGCCAGCTCCGCAAAAAGGAGAGTGCTTGATATCGACGGAGATCTTCGCCGGCCACATCCGCGGAAGCTACAGCATCTCTGGAGACACGGAGGGTTTCCACCAATTCGCTTCCTAGTGCGAAGATGTCGCTGACGCTGTCGGCACAAGTCTTGTTCGGAAAGGCCGGCACGTAGTAGTCGAGAATCCAGTCGGCTTTCGGCTGCAAGCCGTCGCACGCAAGCGTGAGGTTATTTATCAACCGCCCAAGCTGTTGATGGCAAGCGGTTGCGCTGGCACTCTGCCAGTCCTTCCTGATCCGGGCAATCCGCTCTCTAAGCGTCCCCTCGTGTGCATCGCCGGGCTCTTCCCTGGTGGCCTCAGCTGCGCTGCTCTGCGCCAGCGAAATTAAGAGCAGCTCTTGAAGCTCCAGGGCCGAACTCGCCGGGTGCTCCTCCCAGGGCCAGGCCAAATCGCTCTTGGATCGGAGCCCGGCTGCCAGGGCGATCAGAAGGAAGCACACCCAGCGCGCCATCGTGCAGGGATCCTACATGGAACTTTGTAAATTCGCCAGAAAAGCGCTGGCATGCTAGTCTGCGGGACATGAAACTAGAGCATCCGGCAGAAAACGATGACACCACTCATCGGATTTCAAAAACCGAACCTCAAGCAGATGGGTTCAGTGCGAGTGGGCCTCTCGGCAAGTGTCCGTGTTGGAGCAGTTCCAGATCTTCGCCTGGCCGGTCAGGCAGAGCTTCAAATGAGGGGCACAGGAAGCCCTTAGCAGAAAAAACAAATTGAGGCGTCGGAAGAGGGCACCGGGATTAGGACAGCGTTAGATGCGTCAAGCAGGATGTGCAATCAAACCACTGTGAAGTCAGCCACAATTTCTGTGAGAACCGGATTGGCACATGTCCTCTTCACACCCTCCTTGTTGTTGTAGCCAGTAATGGGCTAGAAGGAATGGGGGCCGGACTAAGACTTTCCAGACTCTGCAGAGAGAACCACTCTTGGCAATGCACCCGGTATAATCAATGAGAAGGGCTGTTACAACTGAGGGCACTCATGGTACTGTGGTGGCCATAACAGTTTGAACAGGAATTGAAAGTGTATTATCGTGCAGCTATGATGGGGATCTTCGGAAACATTATTTCTCAGCAACTATTCAGGCTTCTACATCACTGGAACTGGACGATAGTCTCCACTAGCCGAACAATGGTGACAAAGCGCCCAAAAACCTTAAAAGGACCTGGGTTTAGGGTTTAGGGGAATCCCAAACAAAAGTTCATTGTCTAAACAAATCTGCCTCGTAACAAACCACGGGAAATCAGCTTTGGAAAATTAAGGCCTATTGACATAGTGGCTGAGCTTGTACCCGACGATAACCCACATGTTTCTCATTGGGCTACTTGGGTTGATGGTATAAATCCTGCATGACCCATAATGAGGAATATACCAGAACTCCCATAGTTTAGGGTCCTTAAGGTAATGCAGGACTTATATCATCAACCGTTGGGGCTGCTTTGGGTTTTGCAGCTTTGGGGCTTTTCTTTGAAGATTTGGGCTTTCGGGTTTTAGGAGTGGGGTCTTCGGGGGAGTGGGGTCTGGCACGGGTTTTCGGCTATAGGGTCTAGGATTTAGGATGGTAGGTAATATAGGGGATCTTAATGACTAGAATATAGGGTGTTGAAACCCAGCAAAACACTGTTGGTAATTATTTAGGCCCCTATATTAGGGTTTCAAGCCTAGACATATCGTCAATTTGGAACACCAGCCAATAGCCCTAAAACCACCAAAAACAACCTAGAGACACCACTATAGACGCCTTACAGCACCCAAAGGAGCCCCCAACATCCTCCTCATCAGGATCCCATTTCGGCGTTTGGGGTTTAGGCTTTAGGCTTTAGGGTTTAGTGTTTAGGGTTTCGGGCCCGTCAGGCCACCGAGCCACATGCGGCTGCCTAAAACTTCGAAAACCATGCTTGCTCTTAAGTCTCCGACCGCACAGAATCCCGTTGCCTCCAACCTCAACCCCCGAAACCTCAACCCCTCAGCCCTTAGCATCAGATCCTAATAAGCCTCTAAACCCTAAACCCTAAGCCCTAGATCCTATTAAGCCTAAACCCTAAACCCTAACTAAACCTTTTTCCTAGAACTGATGTTGAACGTTTGTAAACCCATCTCAGGCAACGCATGAATGCCCCTTGGGGCTTGTAAGAACTATCCTCAGAGGATGCGCTAGTGCGTTTGTCAGAATTCCTCGGGTTACGCTCATCGGGCTAGATTCAACACTCTGCATCTCCTGCTACGCGCGTTAGGATTCCTGGTTTGAAGGCTACTTAATAAATAAAATACCTTTTGGGGAGTTATATCACACTGTTACTATAACCATAAGAAGTAAACCCCCAAAACCCTATCCTATATTACCTTTTGCCTATGATCCACGCGCACGGCGCCCTTGAATTCTCCTCTCTCAAGCCGGGATGTGCGGCGACGGCAGAGCAGGGTGAGACAGTTCTTTGGCTCTGTCCAGAGACTCCAATATTCCTTAATTAAGGAATATACCTTAAATCATATAAGGGATCCTACTATAATTTAAGGTATATATCCCTTAATTAAAGGATATTGGAGTCTCTGGGTGGTCTCTGGAGGCCAGGAGGCGCCGGTATGGATGCGGGCTGAACGGCTTTTACTAATAATTAGAATAAGGTTTTCTGGGTTTAGGGTTTAGGGTTTAGGGTTTAGGGTATACTAGGACTACATACAATCAACCCCCAAAATAGTATAGGTAATTATGAAGGCCCCCTCTATGACATGTCTTGGTTTAGGCTTCTCGGGCCTAAAGTCTGGGGCCAAGGAACTTTCGGGTGTCTAGGAGCTAAGAAACATTAAGAAACCATGTTTTCCCGAAATCTGTCAGACTGTCACGTAGCTTCGAACACAGGTCGGCTACTAGAGAATTAACTCCAATACGCTTTGGAGATTTCGTTCTGCTTCTCTCGCAAGAGAAGTCGAGATGTCTCACTCAGCGACTCCAGCACGGTCTCGTGAATGGTGGCCTGAACCTGCAGTTCTGAAAAATCAGGCAGCTGCATCGCATGGACCTGAAAAAGAAGAACCCATGACAATAACAGCAGTGTAGAAAGGGCACCATCGGTGACCATGAAACACTACCTTACGACTTGGCAACGCAAATTGTAGCAGCAGCAGCAGCAGCAGCAGCAGCAGCAGCGCAGCAGCAGCAGCAGCGCAGCAGCAAGTAGCAGTCGTCGTCGTAAGGCATTACTAAGCCTTTCAACAAGCATTAAAGAGCCACCCATCAATGTTTTTCATAGAAAACCTTCGGTTCTGCATCATTTGTTAGACAAGAATACGAGAACAATCTGTTCGCCTGGTGTAGTAACTCGCCCCTTGCCTTACTCTGGCAAAGGCTCCGTTATCGCAAACCGAGATACCTTTCACTCCGACATGTCCAGAAGTTTCCTGTTTGCTAACGACCCTGCGCTCAGTCCTAACAACGTCAACCCATATGCAAAGTTTCATGTCCTAGACTTAATCTAAGACGTGACATCTGGTTTACTTCCTGGTCCGATAGGCAGCTATGCATCACGGTCTTCGAAGCCCCAAGCCGTGAACGATTTCATCCTCGAAGCCTTACGCATACAACACTGCCACTTTAACAACACGCCTCAACGCCGCGGTTGGGTCCTGTTTTGCACCCACACCAAGCCCAATCACATAATGAAGCGGCCTCATCAACCTGAGCCATCAACTCCCTTTCTGTTTAGCCACAAAAAGCACGGTACCTCTATGTTCCATAAGTTTCTTTACCTTCATGCAAACTCAACCTTCTTCAAAGACTGAAGACTAAAGCCTCTGAAGGGGACCTGGACCAAGCACGCGGTTTAGAGGTGGAGTATGAAGCTTTTTTTCCCAAAGGGTCCTTTGTACTGTTATGGGGGATACTTCCCTAAATCATAATAGTAATTAATTCCTAATATGGAAACCCTACATTCTACTACAAATACATAGGACCCTTTGGGTTTACAAGCTTTCACCCGTGCTGTCGCCTGGTAGATCGTGTACAAAGCGAAGAGCACCTCACGCAGGGAAACGAGTCGAAGATTTCAGCGTAAATTACCCATAGGCCCCAAAGTAGTTCCTTTTTGGGGCTACCTAATAAAATTCTATATATGAACCCCAAAAAGGCCCTACTTTGAGGCCTTTGGGTAAATGCTGGATGAGGTGCAGATTGATTGCCCCTGCTTGTGGATTCTGGTAGTTTGCGCACATGTGCATGCATCCGAGATCATGCGTGCATGCGTGGTGAACCCGATTTCACATGAGCTCAACTCAGACATTCTCATGGAGACATGGAGATCGAGAAACTCAGAAGCAAAGAGGGGTGGCAAGCGAAGCTGCTGTCGAACAACGCCCGCATCCGGCTGAAGACATGCTCCAAGCCAATAAGCAAGGACAGGGAATTCATAGATCCCAGACCCCTGTTTTACAACGAACCGGTGCAAGCATGTATGCTGAAATATAAAATTCACGTAGGAGGCTGCCACTATGTGTCCTGGAGAGTCTGCGCCCTAAACCCTCGTTCATCCGAGACCCACCAATGCAACCCTGCTATAACACTTGAAACTAACACCGGAATCGAAGCAGCAACTTCATTTCTAAAGCATCAGCCAGAGCACCACAGCCACGATGGCGAGGCCCACCAAGAGCACCGCGGCGCTGAGAACCTGAAAACAATTATGGAGCCGAGCTTTTGAACCTTTGGAGTTCGGGTGTGAGACGGGGTTCATGACGTTCCCAGCTGTTAGTAAACGAGATGTCTATCAGTCTTACTTGAGGTATTTCAAGGGGGCGAATCTCTGCAAAGGGAATGTCCCATGAGCCGTGACCCATGTAGGGCTGGTCTTAATAACTATAATCAACAAAGTGTAGTTAGCTTTGATGTCAGGTGTTGGTAAGAAGATTGGAGATGTATGGCGCACATGACTTGGGTCGGAGGTCTAGGGATTTGGTACCGAACGAAAATGCTGAAATGCCCATAGCTTTAAGGCTCGGGCATTTCGGGTTGCAAAACGCCTGACAGGAAATACTTTCAAGGTTCTGGAACGGTTAAACGAAAAGGATTCAATCCCGGCGATATCTCCGACTGCCGTCACTCAGGGTGTAAGTGTCGGTGTTTCGCGTACTGGGGCCGGAGTGCGGAAGCAGGGTCAAGTCGGTTGCCTCGACTGCGAACCTGCTTTGGGAGGGTAGCCAAAGCAAGGGAACTCTGGGTGTCTTCAGGGTCATCTACCGGCACTGCGAGTTTTTTGGACCCACACTCCGGACGATGTACATCATCCGGTTGATGACATAAACCCTGCATTTCCTTAAGGACCCTCAACTATGGGAATTAATTACGGTATATTCCCTATTATGGGTGATGCAGGATTTATATCATCAACCCTAAACCCCCTATAGATCCCTTAAAGGAGCCCCTTAAAGGTACCCTTATAGATCCCTTTAAAGGAACCC